GTGTGTGATAAGTGCCACATGCCCCTCTGCAACAGCATCTCAGTGTTGAAAGGCCACAAAGGAAGAGCGGGTACAATTTCAAAGCAAAAAAATCTGGGGCTTGGATTCATGGGCATCTGTTACTAAGTTCCCTCCTTCCTCGCCTCCAGCCCCACTTGTCTCTTGGCTGTCCTCTTTCTTCTTCGTTGGATTATGGGAAATTTTAGATACGTTAAATTGCTAACCCTAGAGAGCAGATGCAATTAAAGACTCATGGGATTTTCTTTTCATCATGAGGGTGGATTAGAGTCCTTTCTCATCTGTTACGTCACCCTTTTCCCAGCAGAGCCTTCCACAGTTGTCAGCCTTGGTGGTGTCATCCATGTGTCACCCATAAGGCAACTGAGGCAAGGAAGTTGTGACTTGTCAGAGGCTGAAGTGGGAGGGAGCCGGGCTCAGAATCCACTGCTGGGGCTGCGTTTTGCATCAGAACTTGCCCTGCCCGTCTCTCCTCTACGTGAGTTCAGTCAGGAGGTGTTTAATAAACACATACTGTGTGCCTGGAGATGGAGTTGATGTGAGGCTGGCATTGCTGTGGCAGCACTGCTCTGGAGGTGGGCTTCAGGGTCAGGGAGGGCTTCACTGCCAGCTCTGCCATGCATCTGCAGAGAGCCCTGGACGGCAGCTCTCACGGCCTCAAGTTTCCTCATTAGGAAGCAAGGCCACCTGTGAGGGAGTAGGAACGTTGCTGAGAATACGTGCAGATACTGTAGAGTTGGCATGTTGGCAAGTACTCAGCCAGCGGCTGTTGTGAAGAATCGGATGATGCAGGCCAGAGGGAGCGCGTGCTCTGCAATTAGACGATTCAGCGTCTCAAGCCCAATGCCAAAGTGGACTGCACGGCACTGGGCAAAATACTTGTTCTTTCAGCCTTGATCTCTTCATTTGTCAACTGGGGAGGATAATAGGTCCCTTACAGGTGTGATAGGAAGAGTGGAGACATAAGTGATGTATCGGAAGCACCTGGCATGATGCCTGACACCTGGGATGCACTTGTTACTATCACGAAGCAGACCCCTGCATATGCTTGGAAAGTAGGACAGACCATCATACGGAGAACAGCTAGAAAACTGCAGGAGTGCATAGAATGAACCCAAATGCGGAAGACTGTGGGAATTCAGAGGAGGAGATTGTGAGGGTGGGCCAGGGCATTTGGAGAAGTCCTTAAAGGAGGATTCCGAACCGGACAGAGCCCAGGCCAAAGCAGTGTCATCACAGCGGGGGAGCCGGCTAAGACCCGGAGCTGCGGGCTGCTGCAGGGCCTGTGAATTCATCCTAAGTCCTCTCCTGAGCCTTCACACTTCCTGCCTTTATCCTCCCTACTTGAGGACCACCTTTGCATGTTTCCCCTGCACTTGTGTGGGACCCTCCACGTGGGCTTTAGGAAGCCACATTGGCGGGCCGAAGGGAAAGGTGATGAAAACAGGTTTCCACTAAGCCTCGTCTTCCTGCCTGATCAGTAGAGCTCAGACAGGCATCCTACAAGCTGGTGGAACAAACTGAAACTTCCTCTTGATTACTTGGGGGAGTATGGGGAGCTCCTGGCTTTCTAAATCTCAGATATCGGCATTTCGTTTTTGTTGTTTGGTTTTTTTGGTTTGTTTTTTCGAGATATCATTGATGTACAATATTATTTGTTTCAGATGTGCAGCATAGTGATTCACAATTTTTTTTTAGTTTTTCATGTATTAATTTATATTTATTTTTGGTTGTGTTGGGTCTTCGTTTCTGTGCGAGGGCTTTCTCTAGTTGCGGTGAGCGGGGGCCACTCTTCATCACGGTGCGCAGGCCTCTCACTGTCGCCGCCTCTCTTGTTGTGGAGCACAGGCTCCAGACGCGCAGGCTCAGTAATTGTGGCTCACGGGCTTAGGTGCTCCGTGGCATGTGGGATCTTCCTGGACCAGGGATCAAACCCGTGTCCCCTGCATTGGCAGGTGAATTCTTAACCACTGCGCCACCAGGGAAGTCCCAGAGCCACCCTCTTTACTGTGATGCCAGACGGCTGTCTATGACATCAATTTTCAGTGCACACGGGCATATGACACGGCCCACTTCCCCAGGAGGAAGCCCAGGTTCGGGAGGCTAGCATATCCCAGAGCAGGAGTGGCAGGGTCAGTATCTACACCCAGGGCTGTGTGATGATGATGCACTGACTTAACCACATTACTCCACCATTCAGCCCTCCACAGTGAGCTGTGCCTCACCGAAAGGCCTGCACAGCGGCAGCCTGATGCCTCAGAAACGCCAGTGTCAGAACAATTCCACTCCTGGGTATACATCCGAAAAAACAAAAACACTAATTCAAAAAGATACATGCATCCCAATGTTCACAGCAGCATTATTTATAATTGTCAAGATAAGGAAGCAACCTAAGTGTCCATCAACAGATGAATGGATAAAAGTGTGGTATGTACACACAATGGAATATTACTCAGTCATAAAAAAGAATGAAATTTTGCAATCTGCAACAACATGGATGGACGTAGAGGGCATTATGCTGAGCAAAATAAGTCAGACAGAAAAAGAGAGGGCTTCCCTGGTGGCGCAGTGGTTGGGAATCTTCCTGCCAAAGCAGGGGACATGGGTTCGAGCCCTGGTCTGGGAAGATCCCACATGCCGCAGAGCAGCTGGGCCCGTGAGCCACAACTACTGAGCCTGCGCGTCTGGAGCCTGTGCTCCGCAACGGGAGAGACCGCAACAGTGAGAGGCCCGCACACCGCGATGAAGAGCGGCCCCCGCTTGCTGCAACTGGAGAAAGCCCTCACACAGAAATGAAGACCCAACACAGCCATAAATAAATAAATACATTTATTTTAAAAAAAAAGAAAAGAAAAAGAGAAATACTATATGATAGCACCTACATGTAGAATCTATAAAAATACAGCACACTAGGGAATATAACAGAACAGGAACAGACTCACAGAACAAACGAGTGGTCACCGGTGGGGAGATGGAAGAAGCAAGGGGCAAGATGGGGTAGGGGATTAGAAGGTACAAACTACTATGTACAAAATATATAAGCTGCAAGGATATATTGTGTAGCACAGGGAGTACAGCCAATATTTTATAATAACTATAAATGGAGTATAACCTTTAAAAATTGTGAATCACGGGCTTCCCTGGTGGTGCAGTGGTTGAGAATCTGCCTGCCAATGCAGGGGACACGGGTTTGAGCCCTGGTCTGGGAAGATCCCACATGCCGCGGAGCAACTGGGCCCGTGAGCCACAACTACTGAGCCCGCACTCTAGAGCCCATGAGCCACAACTACTGAGCCAGTGCTCTAGAGCCTGTGAGCCACAACTACTGAAGCCCACACGCCTAGAGCCCATGCTCCGCAACAAGAGAAGCCACCGCAATGAGAAGCCCGCACACGGCAGTGAAGAGCAGCCCCCGCTCGCCCAACTAGAGAAAGCCTGCACGCAGCAATGAAGACCCAACGCAGCCAAAAATAAATAAATAAATTTATTTTTAAAAAAGAGGGTGGCTCTGAAGCTGGGGCAGCTGGATCCAGGTCCTGCTCCACCTCTTACAGTCTGACCTTGTGCCAGGCGCCTTACCTTTCTAAGCCTCAGTTTCTCCACCTGTACAATAGGAAAACAGTAATCCTTCCCTTTTGTCACTCGATCAAGTAGAGCAGTGTTACACTGATGCTGGAAGCTTACTTTATAGCCTCCTCAACTTCCCACTCCCATGTGTCTAAATCAGCAAGCATTTATTGAGCACCTGCTGTGTATCTGCCACCCGGCAACCAAATAAATGAGAAAATGCAACCGGCTTGATGCTGGCCGGGCGGGGGCTGGAGGTGGCACTGCAGATAGAGGGACCAGGGACGGCCTTTCTGGGGAGGTGACTCTTCAAGTGAGAAAGAAGAAGGGACAGGTGACCAAGAAGAGGTACAGTAAATGCAAAGCCTTGAACGTGAAAACCCAGAGCCAGTGAGCGATGGAGGGGGGCCCAAGACAGGACTGGACGGGGAGGCTGGATCACAGGGTCTTGAGGGCCAGAGTACAGAGTTTGGGTCCCTGAGAAGCCGCTGGAGGGTTTGAAGCAGTGGAGCAATAGATCTGATTTGTGTTTCACAGAGATCTTTCTGGCGCCGTGGGGAGAATAGATGGTCTGGGAGCAGACGAGGAGCACAGAGCGCAGCCGGCCTGTTGGCAGTCACCTAGGCAGAGCTAAGCAGCTGAAGGCGCAGGGCGCAGGGGCGGGGAGGGCCGTGCACACTGGGAGAGATTCTGCAAGCAGAGGCGGGCGGACCTGGGGGTTGACTGAATGTCTTGGTGTTGGGAAGCAGGAGGCAAGGCAGAAGAAAAAAGCAGAATTATTGCTTTTGGAGATTTGACTTGAATGGTGGGGGACGATGGTCTCGATGGAGTTGAGGGTTGAGAAATGAACTCTATTTTCGATGCATCCTGGGATATTATTAGAGTTAGAACTGCCAATGGAGTTGGTGGGTTTTGCTGACTTTTGCACTTTCCTTCCCTTGGCTTTTTTGCTCCAGGAGTGGAGTCCAGGGAATTCACATAGCAGTTCTTTCTCCCGCTCTGAGCCCCAGGGAGGGTGCCACTGCTGTCTCTTTCTCTGCCCCACTGTCAGCTCCAGCCCCCAAACCCACTGCTCCTCCGCTGGCTCTAGGCCTGGCAGGTAGCCCTTGGCCTTTCTGAAGTTCCCGAGATGAAGCTGAGGATGGGGTAGGCAGGGTGTAGGCGTCCAGCCACGTCTGCTCCGGGAGGTGCTCGCCCTTCAGGGGAAGGTACACATCAGCCACTCCACCCAGCTGCCAGACGAAACGGATGGATGGCACCCTTGAAGATGAGTCACATCAGAGGCGAAGGAGCTCTGTCTGGGGCTTTGCGACACCGGAGCCTTCGGGGATGGTACACACTTGTCTGTATCGTCAGACGCTGCTGAGCTGACGCAGTGTGAGGTCTTGGTGCTCAGGCTGTGTTTGTCTTGGCAGCTGGGATGACAGCAGCTCCGTCAGCAGCGGGATCAGCGACACCATAGACAACCTCAGCACGGATGACATCAACACCAGCTCCTCCATCGGCTCCTATGCCAACACGCCTGCCTCCTCGCGTAAGAGCCTGGATGTCCAGGTAAGGAACAGGGTCCCTCCCAGAGCCCCTGCCAGCAGAGAGCCTTGGGCTTGTGGGCCAAGGGGGCTGTTTGGGGTACACAGAATCTCCAGGTCCGTGAGATGAGGCCCGACCTCCTGCTTGATGCCTGTGCTCTTATGTCTTCACTCTGTCCTCTACCTGCAGGGAGAGGGTGGGGTCCAGCATCGGGGTATGCTAAACGGGAGTGGGGAGACTCACCGCTCTCACTGTGGTGGCCTTGGCAAATCCTGTTTCCTTCCCGGACCTCAGTTTCATCATCTATTTGGAAAAAAAAGAAAAAAAGAAAGAAAAAGGATGTTGGACTCAACGGGCCGTTCTTAGTCTGCAGTGCGCGTCCATGGCGTTCGTCTGATCCCTCAAGAGTGCTGGGGTGGGAACAACGTTAAGAAGCCTGGGCTGGAAGACCAGTACGTCCCAACAGATCTGTGGGTCGTATCCTCCTGCCAGTGTATTGTACTTGGCCCACAGTATCACTCTTCTTTTAAATGGGGCGGCATGTCAAGTTTTTTAAAGTTCATCACTTCACATGATGGTGAGCTTCTGGTTTCTCTTGAAAAATCAGAAGATATCGCCTCCCTGAGTCTATATTCTCCACAACCAACAGATGTCCAGGTGTCCCCGCCTTTGGACAGGGCGCGCATGCCGCTGTGTGCCAACCAGCTACACCCTTCAAATACCTGCCTGTCCTGAGGCACTTGAGTTTCCAACCTCTGCTTTAAACTCTCTGATTTAGTGTTTCAGATGCAGTGCTTCCAAAGCAGTTTTGTGTAGGTGTGTTTGCTTCCCCTCATAGCATCCCTTAGTGGTCAGAGGGGTTGGTTCTAATAAGCCCATTTTACTAGTGGACAAGCGAGTTGCCATCCTCACCACCAGTCCCCACAGTGGCACTGGCATATATGGACTGGAATCCTTTTCAGGATGAGTCCCTCCCACCAGTGGGGCCCGCTGCCTCTGGTGAACGCATGTGAAGGTCTGATGGGGATGGAGTCTCCCAGAGGGACCTTTTGAGGGCAGAGCTGACACAGCCCCTTCTTTCACTCCCTTCCTTTCACATCCGCTTCCTTCCTCCACTCTGTCTCACTCGGGACAGATAGGAGCTGCTTTGGGAATCTCTTTGCTTTCAAAGGTATCTTTCTCTTTGAGGACAGGGCTAAATGAAGGATGTGTCAGAGTGTGGGATTAATTCTGTACCACAGAAACGTAAACACAGACTGCCTGATGAAATCTATTAGGTGTTGCCTCTGGGATTGCCTATGACTTCTTGAGTTTTCATTTTTAGCCTGAATTTCTAATTATCATTGGCAAACAAGGGTGGATTGTGGCGGTTAAGGGAAAAAAAACTACCCAAATGAAGGGAGCCCAGAGATTTGGGGGGTACCGATAATGTGCCACATCTTGATCTGAGGGGTAGTTATGTGCATTAGTTTCAGAAAATTTCTTCCAATTATATACTTAAGATTGTACATTCGGTATATGAATGTTATACCTCAATTTTATAAAAGTTAATTAAAAAAACCAAAAAAACCCCTAAGCCACACCACCAACTGATCACTGTTTAATTAGTTATTAGACACAAGTTAGAAACACCCAGCCAGACTGTGTCCCTACCACTTGCCAAATGTTATAACATCCACAGGTTCCGGGACTTCCCTGGCGGTCCAGTGGTTAGGACTGGGTGCTTTCACTGCCGTGGCCCAGGTTCATTCCCTGGTCGGGGAACTAAGATCCTGCATGTCGTGGGGCACAGCCAAAAAAAAAAAAATCCACCGTTTTCCTTTCCTTGTGGACACTAATTTTTTTTTTTTTTTCCGAGACTCATTTTAATTTCAAGGTAACAACAACCGAACTTCTAGACAGTTCTTAGATACGGAGCTGGGGAACTAAGAGAGAAGGAGAGACAGACAGAGACAGAGAGGAGAGAGAGATCTATAAATCAGTAGGTTTCTCTCTTGTTTACTTGCAAGGTAGGAAGAAGCTTGCTCCTAAAATGCTCACTGAGCCAACAAAACATTGTTGGAACAGTCTCCTTGTCTTTGTTCCCTTCCCACAAACCTGGAGTTAGAATCTGTTTTCCACGTTGATACAGAGTAACCATCTGGGATTTACAAATGATACATTTGAATTTGGTTAATGTCAAGGCCCCCCTCCTCCTTGACCAGCTCTTTGCTTTCATTTAGCAAATGTCACATCAGAAAAGCTTCAAGAATATTACACAAGCATGTCTTTTGACCAAGATCAGAAAGATAACATCAAGGGTTGTAAAGAATTTACTATTGGGCTTCCCTGGTGGCGCAGTGGTTGAGAGTCCGCCTGCCGATGCAGGGGACGCGGGTTCGTGCCTGTCCGGGAAGATCCCACATGCCGCGGAGCGGCTGGGCCCCTGAGCCATGGCCGCTGAGCCTGCGCTTCCGGAGCCTGTGCTCCGCAACGGGAGAGGCCACAACAGTGAGAGGCCCGCGTACCACAAAAAAAAAAAAAAAAAAAAAAGAATTTACTATTTATTGGGTTGTTTTTTTGCTCTACAACTACTTGAGTTTAAAATATTTAAATAAAAATTAAGCAAGTAGGTCTTGGAATAAAATAAATGTAGACTTGCACCCATAGTTACAAAGAGTCCTGCTGAGATGGTTTCTTTGGCATCCCTTTGTTCCTGTCCAGGGAGCATCTCCAAATATCTAAATCCACATAAATTGCAGCCTTCTCCCCTCCTCCCCTGTACCACTCTGAGGAAGGCTAGGGGCCATCACTCCTCTTGGAGCAGCGTCACGCAGCGGGAAGGTGTGCACTGCCATCCTCCCCGGGGCTCATTCAGGTTCCCATCACATATGGGTTTCCCTGGACAAATGGGCAGCACAAAGCATCCCAGGCGAGGCATGGAAAGGCAGGAAGAAGTAGCCCAGTGTGTCCACTGGGAAAGCAGGTTGAGGACAGCTTGCCTGCCTGAGTTTATTTGAAAAGCCTCTGAAGACCAGCCAAAAGGAAGTACATCTAAGGAACAGGGGCGCTATCGTCTGGAAGCCTAAGGAATAGCCTCGTTTAGCTGCTTGAGAGAGGCGGCAGCCGGTAACAGCGGAGCGGTCCTTGGGGGATGGAAGTCCCCTTAGTCTGTGAGTGACTGTCTCCTCAAGGATGTCGAGGAGCACGGAGAGGGTCTTTGATGGGGCACTCGTGCCCAGATACCCACTGCTTCTCAGTGTTCTGGGCAAAGCATCTCCCTGCCTGGGGTCTGACAGCCTCTTGACCAACTTTCTCCAGGAGAGCTGGTGAGTCTGGCTGCAGTGTCAGGGAAAAGGTACGGCCTTTGAAGTCAGGGTTGAGCTCCTAGCTCTGTGGCATCCTTGGATAAGCTCAACCTCTCCAAGCCTCTGCCTCCCCGTGATTACATAAAATCACGGTAACTAGGCTTATCTTGAAGGGTGAGTGTGAGAGCGATATGGACATTCTTTATCTGAACATGCTTTCAGATAAATGAGCCTAATTCGTTTTCTTTTTTCTTTTTTTTTTTTCTGGCTGTGCCACTCTGCTTACGGGATCTCAGTTCCCCAACCAGGGGTTGAACCCCGGCCCTCTGCAGTTGAAAGCGCTGAGTCCTAACCATTGGACCTCCAGGGAATTCCCTCAGAACCTAATTCTCAGTAGTTGCTCAGATGGTTCATTTCGTTTGTTTCCTTTCCTTTCCATTTCCTTTTCCTTTTTCCCTTTCCTTCCTTCCTTCCTTCCTTCCTCTATATTACCTATACCTCTGCTTCTTTCCTCCATTCATGTCAGGAACCAAAAGTTGACTGTTATTCATGTCCTTTGTTTGTAGTGTCAGAGCATTTTTTTTTTTTTTTTTTTTTTTTTTTTTTTTTGCGGTACGCGGGCCTCTCACTGCTGTGGCCTCTCCCGTTGCAGAGCACAGGCTCCGGATGCGCAGGCTCAGTGGCCATGGCTCACGGGGCCAGCCGCTCCACGGCATGTGGGATCTTCCCGGACCGGGGCACGAACCCGTGTCCCCTGCATCAGCAGGCGGACTCTCAACCACTGCGCCACCAGGGAAGCCCTGTCAGAGCATTTTGTCTTAAGTTTTGCAGCATTTTGTTTTTAGGACAGTGTGTTGGTGGCAGAAGACTTGTCACACATGAACATCACTTCCCCACATCCCTTTCATCTATCTCTTCCTGTCCTTGTGACTCGGCATTTTCTCTCAGTCTGTGGAAGGTTCCATTCCAGGTGCCAAGGTACAAAAAAGGCATATGTCAAGATTCCTCTCATTTTCACTGCCTTTGAAATTTTAATAAAATATACAAGGGGGAAAAAATGGTAATTCCTTGTGAGTTTACTTTTTGCTACTGAAGGAAACAAAATTCTGAATTCTGTGGCAAGGATTCCTGTCCTGTGTGACCTTGAGTAATCCTGGGCTCTCTGGATGCTCTCGGGTGATGGTCTGGACGTAAGGATAGGGTTTGGCTGGGGTGTGGGTGGGGCACCCCTTGTGCCACCTGCTGGGTCCTGCTGCTCCTGACTTGAGGCAAGTTACCGTTCCTCTTCACACCTGTGCTTTCCTTGTCTGTCAAATACAGATAAAAGTGCAAGTTTAGAGGATTAGATGAGCTAATAATGTGTGCAGAGGCACCCAGTGCCCAGTAAGAAAGGCGGCAGATAATGATGCTGACGCTGATCCTAGTTTCTGTTATTACTGGGACTCAGACTTTAGCCAGTGTAGCATCTCAGTCCGCGGGGGATGGTGTGGGCTTGAAGACGGCAGTGTCTCTGGCTTCTTAGAGGCTTGTGGCCTAAGAGCACAAAAGACAAGTACCCTGTTCACCTTAATGCAAGACAGAAGTAGATTAAATGCTAAAGTGCTGGAGATTTTCAGAGGGGGGACAGTTGGTGACAAAAGAGCCACTGTTAAAATTGAGTCCCTCCACCTTGAGCTCATTGCGCCCACCGTCAGCTCTCTGAGACACCTGTCTGTTATCACCGCTGTTTCACGCACAAGGTAACAATCTCAAAGAAGCTCAGCCACTTCCCTCAGGGTCACACACAGCACAGGAGGGAGTTGCAGCACCTAGTACTTGACCTCAAGTCTGTCCGACCCCAAGCCCACGCTCTTCCCTCCACCTCCCGCCCCACGGCTGCACCTCGTTCCTCAGCGCCTTGGTTCCATCCTCTCGCTCTCAGAAGACTGGCCTCCCCTCTTCAGTCTCTGGGGAACCTGGGCCCTCAGGGGAGAACTCTCCCATCTTCCAGGCCCTCTTCCTCCTTGAGTGTGGCTGTTTCCCTGCCTTCCCTCTTGGATGCTGAAGGAGTAAGTGGGCTTACAGTAGGAGTAGCTACAGAAAGGAGGTACCACTTGAGATGGGCACAGCTGGCAGAGGGGAGGGTGCAGCTCTTCGTACATCCCACGTGGCTGTCCTGCTGGCCCTCCTGTTGTAAGCTCTGGGGGCAGAGAGCCCGGCCCTTCTTCATCTTTTAATCCCTCCTGGTGCCACCACATGACCTGGCACACAGCTCAGCAGGGGTTTGCTAAGGAGATGTGAACTCACAGCCAGTGTAATGTCCCGGGCAGAGGCCGCTGTGCGGAGAGCAGCTGGGAAGCCTACCACCCTGGACCACATACATTGCGGGGCTGTGATGGTTGGAGGATTGTTCTTTCCAGAGGGGGATTCAACTGTAGTCCCAGACCAGGGATGTGTGCACTCTCTCTGCCACTGGGGTGGAATCAGTTCTGGAGGTCCCACCCAGAGGCTAGGCTGGAACTGCTCCAGAATTGGAGCTGGGGAACCACCGGCCAGCCAGGGTGGAAGGAGAATCTACTGGGTGTAGGTGTTATGTTAGGTGCCCCTGGACATGCAGCATCCTCAAGTCCTTGGACTTGTTCTCCAGGAAGGCAGCATAGCCTGATGGCTAAAATATGGGCTCTGCACTCAGGCTCCCTGGAATCCTTGCACTGTGTGATCTTGGGCAATTTTCTTTTCCACTCTGTGCCTCAGTGTTCTCATGTAAAATCGAGACTACGAACTATAACCTCCTCATAGGTTTCTGGTGAAGATTAAATTAAATGGTCCATGTAAAGCACTTTAGCCCAGTGCCTAGCACATAGTAAACGTTTAGTAAATTTTAATTGTTACTGCTCCTACTATTAGCATCCCTATAATTTGATCAGGGAAAATAACGTATAGGAGCATTAAAGGAATAATTAATGCAGTACCCCAGGATGTGGTATGTACTAAGTTTTCAGTACCTCTTAGAGTGTAAAAGAATGTGTTAGAATGTACTTGAACATAAGCTCCAGGAGGTTGATGATTCGTATTGATATTTTGTTCTCATTAATTGTAGTATTCCCAGTACCCAAAAGCTTGCTTGGCACACAGCGGTACCGGTAAATATTTGTTGAGTGAATGTTTCCAAAGCCAAGATATTTTCTGCCTCAGGGCCTTTGCACATACTCTTCCCTCTACCTGGCATGCTCTTCCCTAAACTCTTCTCTCGGTAAGTTTCTGCTCATTCTTTAGGACACTTCTTCAAAAAGGCCTTACCAGACCACTGTACCTTACCCCCGTCATCATAATCTAAATTACATCACTGCCTGTAATTCTCTCTCAGACTCCTTGTCTTTTTCCATTTATTTGTCTTATATTTCCAATCCCTGCCTCTTTCACTGGATCATAAACTTCAGAAGGGATGGGAACCAATCTTACTCACAGGTCCTCAGACCCACCATAGTGCCCGGCAAACCACGGGCATGGAGGAAATTCTGGTTGAATGAATACACTGGAAGATTTAGAGGAAGGAACACGGGCTGGTGTAGTTGGGACACGGAGCAAGTGCCGTGAGTTTCCACGTCTCTGTAAAACTGAGATGAAGACAGTTCTACTTACCTGCTTACCCTCCTTGACCAGACAGCGGTCGGGATCGGATGAGGTCGTTTTGTTAAAGTGTGCTGTAGCTCGAGAAGCATGTGTTCGCCGACCGATTTGCTCATTTCCTCACCAAGCCTGATTGCGTGCCTGCTGTGGGGACGCCTCTGTCTCTGTCCTTTGCCGCAGCTGAACGACGAGCTTCTCGCAGCCCAGCAGTGTTTCTGTCGTCCTCTCTATGCCTGGTACCTCGTGGAGATGTTTGAGGAATGACCAAACAACTGAAGGCACCCATGAGGTGGCTGAGGGAGAGGGGGGAGGCTGTGGTGGCGATAGAGAGGCGATTGAACTTGGGCTGCTTGTCTGTATGTATCTTTGCTCCCACTCTGCCAGCGTATTCCGTGCAGGAAGCCATCGGTACTAATCTCGAGTGACGAGCATCAGGCCAGATTCTTGCCGGGGGGTCGTTTTGATTTGCTACCTTGCTGGTGTTGCCCACGCTTGGTAGTTAAGTACAGCAAATATGGGACCTGTATCGCAGGGGAGCCGCCCTAAACTGTTGCTGACCACCCTTCCCCATTCACTGCACTGCTTCTCCCCGCTGAAATCTGCTCAGACTGGCCCCAACCCCTAGGGAGGCCCCCAAAGCTTTCTGGTTAGCGAGTTACGGCTTTTAACTGCAGCACATGATTAACCATCACGCTTCTGTCCCCTCCTGGGCTCTGTGGCCAGCAGGTCAGGCCTCTTCCAAAGAAAGCTGGCTAATTATATCCCCCGTCTGCACAAAATCCCACAAGAGGAGCCAGCAGCGGCATATGAATGGAGCTGGGTGGGAGCACATGGTGTCGTGGGGAGGAAGTGGCTTCTGAGGCTTCGCTTCCTCTCGGCCCCTCTCTCTCCCTGATTCGAGGGGAGCTAGCAGCCGCCCTCTCTCGCTCGCTCTCGGTGCGTTAGACTGTGGCGCTGTGCTCGATCCAGAGATCTGGCTGCCGGTGGAGTGATGGGAGCTGTTGAACAAAGGGAAATGGGCTGGGAGGCCGTGAGCTGGGCAGAGCTCGGGCTGCCGGAGCTCGAGGAGGCTGCTCGCCAAGTGGCAGAGCTGGTGGCTGAATTTTTGTCACAGCTCCGTCCACTGGTTCTCCTCCATGGGGCTCTGTCCCTCGTTTCCCTCTGGCTCTTTTTACTCTCCTCCCTCACTCCCTTTTAGGACATATTCGTATTCTTTACTTTCCTTGGACCCAACATATCAGGCTTCCTAACAAGACAACCAGAGTACAAGGCCCAAACATTTTAAAGTGGTCATCTGTTATTTTTCCCTTAACTTGTCCAGGGCATGGGCATTTTTGCTCTGGGGTGAGGGGCTCTCTAGCCTGGGGTTTGAGAAAGACTAATTCAGAGGGTCTCCTTCGCAGACCGACGCTGAGAAGCACTCACAGGTGGAGAGGAATTCCCTGTGGTCCGGCGATGACGTCAAGAAGTCAGACGGAGGGTCAGACAGCGGCATAAAGATGGAGCCGGGGTCGAAGTGGAGGCGGAATCCTTCTGATGTGTCTGACGAGTCCGACAAAAGCACGTCGGGCAAGAAGAACCCCGTCATCTCTCAGACAGGCTCGTGGCGGCGAGGCATGACAGCTCAGGTGGGCATCACCATGCCGAGGACGAAGCCGGCTGCCCCGGCAGGCACGCTGAAGACCCCAGGAACTGGTGAGTCAGGCATGCGTGGGCACTTGTCATTTTCAAAACCTGAACCGCAGTCACTCTAGCGAGGGCTTGATGATATTTTTAAATCCCTATAAAATGCACAGGTATTTCTTCTTAGGGTTTAGACTCTGCTCATAGCCAGCTTTCAGAAAGGTTCACATCCTTACCTTTCTCCAAGTGGAAGTATGTAAGCATGAGAGCCTCTGAAATTCTGAAGATGGTTCAACTGCCGAGACATGTTGAATCGGTTTAAGCATGTGCTGGGTCGGAGCTAACATACCCAGTGAAGGCTATTCAAGAGCACGTGGTTAGGAGCTGTCGGTGTGTTGAATTGACGTTGTCCGTGATTTAAGGATGTGTGTAAACGAGGGCAGTGTTTTTGCAGGAAGGTGGGGTACCCCTTGAAAATGATAGGGACAGCTTTTCAATGGACAGAGGGAGAATGGCCAATAAAACACAAGGTCTCTTTCCCAGACATATCAGTAATTGGCTGGCTTTGCTTTATTCTGGGTAAATCTAGACTGCTTTGCGAATGAGGAAAACCATTGACATCTCCTAAAAGCCTCACGGTGACAGTTGTAGACGCGCTTATCTTTATAAAAAGCTCTTTCCTCTGTCTCCCAAGGGGACTGCTTTCCCCCAGGAGAAAGCGAGCTAGTTCTTTGGAGGAGGGGAGAATTTTAAACAGTCAGCTGGCGGAGCTGACTTCTTGGTCTGCAGGCTAACCTTTCTGATCTCTCTCTCAGGAAAAACAGATGATGCAAAGGTGTCTGAGAAAGGAAGGCTGTCTCCCAAAGCCTCCCAGGTGAAGCGCTCCCCGTCAGATGCTGGCCGCAGCAGTGGGGATGAATCCAAGAAACCCCTCCCCGGCAGCTCCAGGACGCCCACTGCCAACGCCAACAGCTTTGGGTTCAAGAAGCAGAGTGGCTCTGCCGCTGGTTTGGCCATGATCACAGCCAGTGGGGCCACTGTCACCAGCAGGTCAGCCACACTGGGCAAAATCCCGAAGTCGTCCGCACTTGTCGGTCGGTCCACCGGTCGGAAGACGAGCATGGATGGGGCTCAGAATCAGGATGATGGGTATCTGTCTCTTAGCTCCCGGACAAATTTACAGTACCGGAGTCTGCCAAGGCCCAGTAAATCCACCAGCCGGAATGGGGCTGGGAACAGGTCTAGTACCAGCAGCATAGATTCCAACATCAGTAGCAAGTCAGCAGGCCTGCCGGTGCCCAAGCTGAGGGAGCCTTCCAAGACAGCCCTGGGCAGCTCTCTGCCAGGTCTGGTCAACCAGACCGATAAGGAGAAAGGCATCTCATCCGACAACGAGAGCGTGGCTTCCTGTAACTCAGTGAAGGTGAACCCGGCAGCCCAGCCTGTGTCTAGTGCGGCTCAGGCCACTCTCCAGCCAGGGGCCAAGTACCCTGATGTGGCCTCTCCCACGCTCCGCAGGTAAGTGGGTAAATGGCACTGAGTGGAACTGGAATACATGGAGTGGCATCCTGGATTAATAACTTCCTGTTTTCTTAGCTGAAGCCGCCGCTGGTTTTCTCCACTTCAGTCCTTGGGTAAAGCTGTTTGGTCGGATGCTGCCAGCAATTCTGCTCAACTGATTATTTTCCCATGTTGGCATGAAAAACATAAGCCTCTGGAATCAATCATCCTGGGTTTGAATCCTAGGTCCACCTTAATTAGCCACCACGGAACCTCTCTTAATACTTCTGCCTCCGTTTTCTCATCTGTAAAATTGGGATGATGATACCTACCTACAGGTTCTTGTGTCCATTAATCTACGTAGCTACATCTGGCCCATAGTAAGCACTCAATAAAAGTTAGCTACCATCGAAGGTGAGATCCTAATACTCCCTTAGATCTGGAAGCAGTTTTGTTTTTAATCTGTGGCTCAGATTCCTCATCTTTATGCCAGACAGTGGCATAATGGCCAGATCTTTTCCCCAAATAGTCCAGTATCCCCCACATACGTTTTTATACTGCGCGCGTAATTCCAAATCAGTGCCTGAAATTTTAGCTTCCTTTAAAAAAAAAAAGAAAGAAAAAACAACTCAAAGCAGAAGTGTTTTTGAAAAAGAGAATTTGATTTCCTATTACCTGAAAAAGGCATTTTCCTGTACTTCCACAACGGGTGGAAATTTGTACGTTAAAATTGATTATTCGCTTTAAACTGCAGCTGCATAGAGCAGAGTTCATCCTACCTTTTCAGGAAATTTCTTGTCGTAAGAAAGAGTAAGTCCAAGGATAGAAAATTTAGCAGTGAAAAAATAAGAATTATGTGCACATGTACATATTTGGGGATGAATGGGAATGTTTGCAAAGCCTTCAGAACAAGCATTCCACATGAAAGGCATAATGCAGCAGTTCACTGTTCTTTGTCTAGACTTGATTATTAGAATTTCAGTAATGATTATTTTTTCAGGGGAAAGTCTTATTGGGCTGCTCTTTGTTGTTTTAACAGGTTGCCTTGTAAATGAAAATTTTCTCTGCTTCTTGCCTCAAGTATTATATGTAATATTCACTCTTTGGTATTATAGATTTCCTTTAGTAACTACAAAGGCATTTTACTAGACCCTTAGGCTAGTGTAATAGAATACTTGAAAATGCATGCAGCTTCTTAGGCTGTGAATTGAGCACCTTTCAGCCCACTCCTAGCAATTACATTTTTCCTAAATTGTTAAGGTGTTCTGAATTCTCTCTTTGTGCATTAGTATGAAGAAGAGGAATCTTAGGTGAAGTGTGGTAGCTCTCTTCAAATGGCTTGAAGGACTAACAGACAAAAGATTGGGCTTTTTCTGTGTAGTTACACATAGCAGGATTAGGAGCAAGGCATAAAAGTTGGAAGAAGGTGGGTTAGATTTTGGTTTTGTAACAATTGGAAGTGCTTGGCAACGGAGCCAGTTAGCCTTTGGAGTATAAAGTAGTGAGGTCCCTGACACTGGAGGTGTGTAAGTACTCTAAAGCCAAGGTTCTGCAACAGGATAGTTCTTTCTCTGTCACCAGGCAAAAAGTGTTCCTCTTCTGTCACCAGACATTGTAGTGAGGGTTGATTGTGTGTTTGTTTATTTTTACAACAATTGGGATTTGTAACAACTGTTTGGAGAGGTCGGAGGTCAAACTCACACCACTTTGCCTAGCTGGGTGAAAGGCAACCTGCCTATCCTAGTATGTAGTAGTATAGTCTCTTTTTGGAGATACCTGTTCCATGACAGTTTTAGTGGATAGAATAAAGCCGTTACATTTCTAGAGTATGTACTGTCCTTCAACTTTAAGACAGTTTCTCCATCCTACCAGAGAACCCTCTGCCAACGGAAGAGGGAAGTGTCTGTGCCATTCCCTGTGTTCTGACAGCACATTTGTGGTCATGAGCAGTGGGGGAGATGACATGCAATGGCATTTCTGTGTGTCTATCACAGAGACACAGTTCACACCCAGCGTGTCTGGTTGAACATCTTGTGAACCCCACAAGGTTTGTGTGTATCACTGGACAGTACTAGCTCTCTGGACCTAAAAGACACATCTTTCAGGCTGGGCTTTCATGTGAGAATACATCTGAGAGGCTGCATTGCCCAGGCCGCCTCCAGATCCAGCCTCCTGTTCTTGATTCTGCATGTTTGCTTAGAGATCAAAGAAACCAACTCCTTTGGAGCTGAACTGTCATAAACGGAGTGCCTGCTTTGTGCCTGGTATCATGGATACAAAGGTGATCTTTTCCCTTGAGATGTTTCCTGGGCAAGGGCAGTTTTCTAGTTACTCTATTTATGGAAAGAAAGGAAAGCAAGATGTTGGACCAGCGAGGGATAGGCCTGTAGAAAATTACTCCCCGTCTCCCTTTGGCTCAGGTAGATCCAGGGTCTCAGCAGCATCCTAGAACTTGAAGGTGGAGCCTTTGCTCCACCAGTGCCCTGGCCCGCTGTGTGGCAGCCTTTCCCAGGGGAGCGCCTCGAGCTGTAGAAAGGACTGCGCCTCCCTCCCCAGGGACTCTCACTAGCTCCTGTGCCCCACCCTCCTCTGACGGCCGGCGTCCCTGGGCTTTGGGTGTTCAACCCGTGTAAACCTTTGTCTCTTCGCAGACTCTTTGGTGGGAAGCCTACCAAGCAAGTGCCCATCGCCACAGCCGAAAACATGAAAAACTCGGTGGTCATCTCCAACCCTCATGCCACCCTGAGCCAGCAAGGTAACTTAGAGTCCCCCTCGGGCAGCGGCGTCCTGAGCAGCGGCAGCAGCAGCCCTCTCTACAGTAAGAACGCAGACAGCACCCAGTCCCCCCTGGCCTCCAGCCCCAGCTCCGCCCACTCGGGCCCCTCCAACAGCCTCACGTGGGGCACCAACGCCAGCAGCTCCTCGGCCGTTAGCAAGGACGGCCTGGGCTTCCAGTCGGTCAGCAGCCTCCACACCAGTTGCGAGTCCATTGACATCTCCCTGGGCAGCGGAGGGGCGCTGAGTCACAACTCCTCCACCGGCCTCATTGCCGCCTCTAAGGATGACGCCCTGACCCCCTTTGTCAGAACCAACAGTGTGAAGACCACACTGTCGGAAAGGTTGGTGCTGTGTATTTGGCTGCCTTTATCTCCCCGAAAGACGCCCTTCCGGGAGTCCAAAGATTATGTCAGGAAGCCCAAGTGTTAGCTCACCTTTGCTGGGAGATTTCTCTCTTCCTGATCACTGCCGTCTCTCCAGAGGGAAGCCAGTTGGGGATGGATTAAGCCTGGCTCTGCTTCCTGTTGTCTTTTTCACTGTGGTTTTTCTCAGTGCATGGAGCTGCTGGAAGTCTCTTGGGGGCAGATTTCATGCTGCCTTTTGAAAGGGCATTCCGCTTTCGAAGTCCTTCCTTTTTATTGTTTGCTCATCACTGCCTCTTTCCCTGCCCCTTGTAATTGTGTTGTCTGAGCAGGGGGCGGCTGCAGCTGTGGAACGTGTGGTGGGATGTTCCTTAGGCAGCTCAGTCCACACGCTGGTCCTCGGGGCAGACACCCTCCTACTGAAGGGCCGCAGGCCAGAGCGATAGGAAATCAAGAAACCAGAATTCTCCTCAAAGCTCTGAATCTCACCGCAGTAGCGATACATGTCCATTTTCTCCACATGGGGAAGAAAGCCAGTATCAGCTCTGGAAATGAGAAAAACGTCCTAGTCGTTGTGTATAATAACCCCACCCCCTCCTTCCAATCTAATGCACCTTCTCTTGTTTTCCACCTGCCTGGCCTTCTAGCCCTCTCTCTTCCCCTGCCGCTAGCCCTAAGTTCTGCAGAAGTACTCTGCCCAGGAAACAGGACAGGTAATGACGTTGTAGGCCGGGGACGCCACCGAGCCTCTAGCTTCCTCTGCCCCCCTGTGTCAAGCCAGATGTCTTGTATGAGGCTGTTGACCTGCGGCTTCCGCTTGTGTTCGTGGCCCTGGTGTGCTCTGTGACCCCCCCAGACATGCCTGTGAGGGTCTGTTCCGCTGCCCACAAAACTCAGAAACAGGTGGAGAGGGGCTGGCCCCTCCTCTCCCAGCTTGGGAAGGAACCTCAAGCCTGCCACCTGGCGAGGGGCGGCAGAAGCCCTCACTGGCATCTCAGCCTCCCCGTGGCATGCTCCTGCTTCCCAGCTTCCTGCCCTTTCTCCTCTCTCCCCTCCCCCTCCGAGCCCAGAAGTGACCTGCCGCCCACCACGCGGCTCTGCGGCCCTCACCTTTGTCTCCCACACCCCTGCTCCCCACGCAGCTGGCTCTTTGCCCTCTCAAAGGCCTCTGCTGCGGATCGGCTCTGTGTCTCGCAGGCTGTGGTGTTCTGTGTGCCCGTTTTCTGTAAGAAGAATATGTGGAGTGTTGTTGGCCCCCAGATGCCCTGAGGGTGGGCCTCAGACATGGATCTTGACCTTGAGTTTGTGGGGAAGCCATGGCTTGGCCAAACGTAATGAGCAGATGTTGTTTCGTGCCAGGGGGAAAAAAATTAATGAAAACCCTCTTCACCCCATTAACAGCGACAACTTTGCTTTTGTCAGACTCATAGACCAAGCCTTTAAACCTAGCTCTTTGGAAATCCGAATGCTGTGACTTTATCAGCCAGCAGGTCGTAACGTGCCCCGACTCTGCCCAGGGCTCAGCTCCTAGCTCCGCCCAATGACAGCCTCGGAAACTGAGAGGGACCTGGAATTCACTTGTTACAGATGAATTCCAAATATGCAGACTGCTGGCCTCTTGAAACTCTCCAGCAAGTCCCTTCTCTCACTTGAAGTCATCGCCAGTGGCATTTGGTGGCGGGCCAGAGGGCTTAGGGGTGCGGGGAGCCCGGCGTGTCTCTCTGCCGCGGAAGGCATGGGCTCTGCTTCCAGATGGGGGGCAGATCCTTAGTTGGGCTTTGAACCCGTGGAAAAGGTGGAGCAGTTGGGGCCGAGTGGATCAGGCCTCCTGGGGACGGGGGTGGAGGATGCCTGGGTGTGAGCGCAGGCCTGGGTTTCCTTTGTTCCCGTGGCTGTGGATGTGTTGCATGCAGAGGACCCCTCCCTGGTGAAGTGAGTCTCTTCCCCCAGATCTCTTGGCTCTTTCCCCCCCTCACATGGCCTGCTTTCCCTGTGCTTCTCTGAGGTTCTTATGTTTGTTTTGACTTTCCTACAGTGACCCGCACCTTGATAGGAACACTTTGCCTAAAAAAGGACTCAGGTATCTGTGTTTTCTCCTTGCATCCGTGCCATCTGGTGTGGCTCTGGGGCTCGGCTGTGCGGCTCTCTCGTGGCTGGTGGGGCTTGGGCTGGGCTGGGGGTCCCCGCTTTGGCAGCAGGACCCTGTGGACGATGGCTCCCCTCGCAACCCTCTCGTTCTCATCTCTCTGTGTGTCGGCTTCTTTGCTTGAGCAGAGGCTGTGCTCTTTCAGGCTTACTGTGGTCAGACCATCTCATGACAGCCATCCCTGAGCAAGCCCGGAGAGCGGTGACCGCTTCTTCTGGGGCCAGTGGGTTTAATCGCTGATCACTTTGCCATGACCATTCCATTCACGGGCTGTCTTCCAAGAGAAAGGATATGACTTGTAGCATGTTGGTTTGTCAGCCGGGACACAGAGCAAAGGAGAGAAATATCCCCCCCACCCCACCGCCCCGCCAATTTGAAGATTTTTAACTTTCTGGTCCATGGAAAGTTGCTGAGGACAGGTGCTTTGCACTTGGCTGAATATTCTAATCGAAAATCGGGTCAATTTTCAATGCCCAGCAAGACATGGGTGTGTTCATTTTTTTGATGTAAAGAAAGTAAGGACTTTCTTTCCAAGAGCGAATGTCCTCGCATTCACTGTAAGTGATGGCTCGTTTTTGGCGCCGGTCCTGGTGAAACAAGATGCTATAAGTCACCACTGCTCACGCCATCCACCTCACTTTGCCACCCAGAAGAACTTCAGCCCTAACGCCTGGCCCGTGATCTTAATGTCCCATGGTTACAGCTGTCGTTTCTCCCGCTCTCTAAACACCTCGTTCTTTGTAGCATCGGCTTCACCCCGCACCAAGCAGTAAGTGCTTTCGCAAAACATGGAACTTGGAATGAAATGTTTCGTTGCTGTCGTGTATGTCTGTAGTTAATAACCAGCAGTACTTAAGGCTGAGAGCATTTTGACCAGTAATGGGAGGTAGGTATCAATGCTTCCTTTCAACAGGAGTTCCGAGTAAAGCCAAATCTAAAAATCTAAGAATAAAAGTATTGAAAAAGCCCCACCCGACCTCCAGACGGAGGAAGTTCAGCACGGTGGCCTTCGAGGGGGCAGTTGGCAAGGCCTTTAGTACTTAACAGTTTCCGTCATGCTTGTCGGCACTCAGGCTGATGCTTAAATCATATCCACTCTTCACGTGAGTTTGACCTTGACGCCCCAGCGTCGCTCCCAGAGGAAGCTCACATCTTCGAATATCGCCATTTCGTAATGCTGATGTGTATATTTCTGGAGCAGATCTATTCTGTGAAAATTATGTAGCTCTAGCTGTTAAAATCAGTTTTTAAAAAAATTCAGAATAGAGGTAAGTGACAGGGTATCCTCAGGCAATTGATGGGACCTAGAAAGTCCAACTATAGTAAAAACATTAAGGAAGAATCGTGTTTATGTTCCCTCTCACTGTGACTCCCTTTCTAGCTCACCCGCTCCGTACACACACACATCCAATACCAACACACTGACAACACCTTGTCCTAAGTCAAGAGGACCCCTCTATTTACGTAATCCGTAGTAACCCCACGGTAATCTGTTTATAAGTCCAAAGTACTCTGGCCACTGGGGCACTTTAGACATTCGAGATGCTGCCTGTGGGCATAATGAGAAGAGCCCACTGGCAGCATCCGTAATGGATTTGGGAATCAGACAAATATGGATTGAAATCTCGGCACGTGATTCAAGGCAGGCCGTCACCTTCCCTGAATGTAAAACAGGAATAATAGCATCTGTGTTGCTGGGAGAGTCCGAGGCTTCAGTAAGATAACGTCTGTGAAGGCACCTGGCACGTTGGGGACGTTCAATAAATCATTACCAAATACATTTCAGAATTAATGACGAGGTGGACCCCGTGACTTCTGAAGACCCTCCCCTGTGTGAGACCCAATGATTTGGGTTCCTTTTGTGAAGACTGGTTTCTACCAGATTCTAGTAACTACTGTCAGCGTCGGTCTCCTCATACCTTCCTCTGCGTGTCTGGTTTCTGATACTCCGTGATTCATGGCCACTTACTTGCCCTCCAGAATGCAGATGCCATGAGCTATCTAATTAAAACTTCCTCAGAGCTCTGACAGCAGCTTGTTTTGCTGCTTCAGTCCTGTCAAGGTGGAGGCTTTGAAATGACACCGTCATGAATCAACATGTTACAGATACGCCCAGGGACGGCTCGTTTGAGCGTTTACCCATCTTGTTCCCTTTATGTAGTTCCCTCAAAACTGAAAGGAATTGCAGTTTTCCCCCAAAGACAGCCAAGTAGCAAAAAAGGTTTTGAGAAACTTTGTGAGTTTCGGGATGTGTAGCGATCTGATTTTTCAAACGTCACCTTTGGATGTATATTTTCTTTTTATATGTTTATCGTCAGCTCCAGAGAGCTCATTTTCATAAGCGTTGTTCGTAGTTAATCCCAGCCTGATTTCTGTCTGTCCAGGTACACCCCCACCTCCCAGCTTCGCACACAAGAAGACGCAAAAGAATGGTTACGGTCCCACTCTGCAGGAGGCCTGCAGGACACGGCCGCCAACTCTCCTTTCTCCTCTGGCTCCAGTGTAACTTCTCCCTCCGGAACAAGATTCAACTTTTCTCAGCTTGGTGAGTAGCTACTTGGCATTAACTGTGTTGATCAGCGCCTTAGGGCAGAGGTTATCTTGCATTTTGAAAGAGACCTGTGGTCACATCACTCTCAGTATCTGATCAGCCCTCAGCAGTGTAGTTTGATTATAGGCAATTGATAGCAAAAGAAAAGAAAAATGCGTTTTGGTTCTCTATCAGTAATTTTCTCTACACGGTTGATATAGGTGGGGTTATAGCAAAGAGCAAACCATCCACGGAATGAGAAGAATGTATTCTAAGACCTCTGAAGATGTAGGTTTTATAGCGTATCCCATGTTTGGTCATCCTCATTGCTTTATTAAACCGGAAATAAAGATCAGGTTTTGACCGAGCAGATATTCTTGGAAATGCCTACCGGTGACATCATGCTTTGACTGGCACAGTGAGGAAAGGAAAAGAATTTGTAACACGGTCCCTGCTGACATGTCAACGGATGCTTCTTTTAGAGAGACAAACACCCACACAGACTCATAGATAGGTAAAAGAGAACAACAGTCCAAAGCTTTCTATGAATCCGTGTAAAAACTGCATATGATCCGGTAGCAAGTATACACAGAAAAAGGAAAGAACAGTCCTGGCTGAAGTGACTGGGAACGGTTACACGAAGGTGGCAGGATGAGAGCTGCTCCTTCCAAGACGGAAAGAGAGGGAAATATTTTCTCCAGTCTCATCTCGTTCTTTAGAGAGGCAGCCTTTTCTGATTATTGTAAATAATAAACTCAGTCTTTCAGGACTTCTGATCAAGTAAGGGTTAACTCCTCATCGTTAATGAACCGAAGGCATACTTCTGAACTATCTTACGTTACTGAAATGGACAGGATTTTAATAAGAAAGCCAGTTTCGCGAAGGTAAATGCACCCCTTTGCACTGAAGCTCTGCCGGCACCATTATGAACTCTTCCCCGTCTGAGACAGTGAGACCTGTGTTCATATTGTTCTTTCCTGGCTGTAACTCTTTGAGGCAAGGGCTTCTTGTCATGCACAAATGCTTCCCATCTGATCAAAAGCCCGGCTGGACTATTTTGGGCTTTTGGCTTTAGGGAGAATTGTTCCAGATGAGCCCAGAAAGTAATTAGCTCATGCCTGGAAGGTGACACTAGCTTGTCTGAATGTGCCAGGTTGGAAAGCTGAGGCCCAGAGCCTCGCTCTGGAACTGACCCACCTTTCCTCCCTCATTTTTAGCTGTAAGTGTGTTACTCAGGTGCCGGTGTGACCACCTTTGAGAAAATAGACAAGGGAGAGAAGCTGACGGGGACGGGGATGGCTCATCGTAAGCGGCCTCCTCTTCGTCCCCCTTTAGGATTTGAGCCGGGACATGAATCTCCAGCCCTTTGACTGACTCCTTTCCTTCCAGCGAGTCCCACCACTGTCACCCAGATTAGCTTGTCCAACCCGACCATGCTGAGGACCCACAGCCTCTCCAACGCCGACGGGCAGTACGACCCGTACACGGACAGCCGCTTCCGGAACAGCTCCATGTCCCTGGACGAGAAGAGCCGAACCATGAGCCGCTCGGGCTCATTCCGGGATGGGTTTGAAGAAGGTAAGAAGCAAGGAGGTTGACCCTCTCTCACGTTGTGCAGAGCGGTTAACAGTCCTCCATACCGAGTTCACTTCACTGACCTAAGAGTCCACCTGTACAAGTTTCCAACTCGCCACTTACTCTGGGGCGGGGGGCTGGGGAACTCTGAATTGTAGGGTCTGACTCTTAATTAACCTCGCAGGACGGTAGGGAAGGACTTCCCTGGTGGCGCAGTGGTTGAGAGTCCGCCTGCAGATGCAGGGGACACGGGTTCGTGCCCCGGTCCGGGAAGATCCCACATGCCGCGGAGGGGCTGGGCCCGTGAGCCATGGCCGCTGAGCCTGCGCGTCTGGAGCCTGTGCTCCGCAACGGGAGAGGCCACAACAGTGAGAGGCCTGCGTACCGCAAAAAAAACCAAAACAAAACAAAACCTAAAAAGGACTGTAGGGAAGACAAAACACGGGTGAACCCTGGGGTTGACCGAGTTCCGCTCCAGGCTTCCCTCCCTTGGACGTGGGCCCTAGCTTCTTGGCATGCACCGCCACTGTGAGATTCAGCCGCCGGCACACCATCTTGGCAACGCCAGTTACTGGAGAGTTCGCTTCCCTGTGCCAACACACCCGTATGGCTTTGGGAGGCTGTCGGCAGCCACGCCTCTCCCCTTCGCTCCAGAATTTTCTATTTCTTTTCTCAAGCACCAGTTTTTTTAAGTTTGTTGCTTTCAGTTTTGCCCTTTTCCTTCTTTGCTTGCTAACTGGGAATATTTGGTGTTGGATTTTTATGTTTTGTTCATTTGAATCAGAACTTGGGGAGAAAACTACAGTGGGCATCTTCATCAGCCATCTTCCTAACTCAGTTCATTTCTCTTTCCTACTTCAGTCAAAGTGTGAGTTAGGTGAGCAAGCAGTCAAAATGTTGGGAAGGCACATCACCCCCACCCCCAAAAGCTTCCCACAGATGGGGATGATAAGACATTGGTGTCAGTACCGGTGACAAATGGTTAAGAATATGGGATAATAATACCAGGGTTTGAATTCCAGCTCCACTACTTCTGAGGTATATGATCTTGGGCAAGTTAACTTCACCTCTCTGTGCCTTTGTATTTTCACTGATGAAGTAGGAGTACCAGGCTCATGGAAGTATGAGAATTAAATGAGATAATATATATAAATGTTAATCCAGTAATGTTAGTACCTGTTACAGCCTGAAAACTGAGCTTCAGCATTGATGTCCTGGAAGTCCCCAGCCAGAGGAGGGGGGACTCTTGGAGCAAATGGAGCCAAGGCTGAGGGCCATGGCCCTGGTTGTGCCTTTTCTGCCAGTGACAGAACAGAATGGGGGGTGGGGAGGGGAGTCACAGGCACTTCCCTCTGCTCCCAGGTCCCTGTGAGAATGGGGAAAGATGCCCAGTGTCCTCCTGGTAGGAAAGAACAAATAAACTTGTGACTGTCGAGGAAACCCCTAAACAAGTCAAGAGGGAGAGAGATGCAAGATGTCAGCTTCTGCCCTGCCCAGAGTTCTTTTTAACAAAAGTTGTAAAGAGTTTAGTTGCAGAGCAGTTGCCCCTGGTTAATCTTCCTTAATTCTCTCCACTCTGATTTATGTATCATTTGCGTCCATTGAGCAGACACTCGTCTGTAAATCCATCTGTGGGAACCCACTGGGACAGAGGATTAAGGAGGGGCAGAGCCTGAGTTACTGGGAGTGTTTTGCTGGATTTAAGAGCTAGAAATCAGTCGTAATCGTGGAGGGCACGTTGACCGTAAGGTGAAGGAGTAGGCAGTTTGTCTTTAACATTCTTCTGATCAGTGGGCGAACCAAGCATGGCCACAAAGCAGTTCCCAGCCCTCCTGATAATGACTCATGAATGGAGAGTGCCCTGTGCCCTATTCATCTGCTGTGTTCCGTGTGTACCTGAGTGAACCGTGTTCAGTGCTGCAACTTGTCCAAACAAGCACACGTGACCTCATAAAGGTCCAGGACCATTACAGTATCATCATCAGATGGGTTTTTTTATTCCATCTGGAATCAAGCCGTCAGGCAGCACAACTGTGGCATATCCGGGATGTCAAAATGACATTGATATAAAGGGCTTGCCCACAAGCAGCGTCTAGACTTTCGTAAACCCTGATGATTCATGGTGATGTGGAACTGAAGCGCAGCGGTAAAATCACATTTGGGGAGAAGAGGTAGAGACTGCTGTCGATATACTAAGAAACATGCAACATCTTCATCTTTTGGGAAATTTGACATCAGATTGATTTTATTTCTTCCAAGGCTATTACATTACACAAAATAGGGCTTGTGCAATTCGGTGTTTTTAATTCCATTGGGGGACGACTTTTTTTTCCCCCTCTTGAATGTATAAACTCCTGGTACTGCAGAAACAGTTGGGAAAAAATCCACATCTCATGTTGGGACCGAATAGAACCTCCTTATATTGATAAGAGGCAGTTAGATATCATATGCCAGAAAGCAGAAAGAAAGTTTAGGAAGAATTAGCACAAGTACCTGAGTGAGGTTTTTGTGGGATTTAATTAGCACTTTCCTTTTTGAAGGAAATGGAAGTCATAAATATGTAGATGAGGTACAGGCACGGCCCAGGTGCAACCTTTCAAGGTTATTTCAGGTAAATTAATTTCCGTCAGATGCATTATGCAATCTTCAAGTCAACTTTAATAGTGCACTTTAGGGAGATGCTTGAGGCACTTTTCAAATGAATGTTTTTGGAGAAAAAAAAATCCAGGGACTTTACGAGTCATCCCTAAGAACTGGTGCAGTCTAAATCAGTTCATATGGAACCCACAGAAACGGAGCAGCTTATTAGTGAATAAATCTTGTGTTGCAGCTCTCCTGTGTTTCTAGCCCCTGAGTTACACTTGGATTCAAGTCCTGGCACCTCCACTGTTAGCAAGGTGACTTTGGGTAAGGGACTTGACCCTGTTCAGCCTGTTTCCTGTTCACTAGAATGTGGAAAATAAGTACAACTGTACCTACTTCAGAGGACTGAAGTGAAGATTAGGTGAGATCAATCCTGGAAGGCATTTAGCAGAATGAGTTTGAAAGGGGTTTATAGTAAGTACTCAGTTCAATGGTAGCTATTGTTACAGTTGTCATGTTTGGTTTTATCCTTCTCCCCATGCGCCATTTCAACCCCATCTTGTTTATGGCAAAGTTGAACAGAGGAAGTGACTTCGGGACTTTTTGCAGCCAGAACTATGTCCTGAACTCCTGATTCTCAGCCCTCTGTGTTTCTACTCAATCCTGCCTTACACTTGTCTCTTCCTTGGCCACAGCTGGGCTTTCTTACATGTCTGAAGCAAACCCTGCACCTTCATCAGTGTGGTCGCCATTTTCAGTTATGCTTCCTCCGCTGGTTGAGAGGGCAGCCATTAGCCGTCAGAACTGCATCTCATTCTCACCGACTCCTTCCTTCCACAGCCCCCAGTGGCAGAGCGAGGACTAGAGTGCAATACCCAGACTCGCTTTCTCTCTCTGCTGCTGACCAGCTGTGTGTGCTTGACCACATGGCTTAGCCTCTCTGGACCTAAATTTACTCCTGTGTTCATTAGGGATAGAAATTCCTGCCCTGTCTGGGAATAGTACCTACAAATTCTCTATGATGAGGAGGATTGCTTCAAATGGTAGTATGAGGAAGTGCTCGATTAGTATGAAGCTGAATATATATATATATATCTACGTCTATATCTATATTCGTAGATATATATATGGTGCCCAAGTGTGACAACAGAGGCATTTGTTTGCTTTATTGGCTGGAATATGCCCAGTTGTCTCATTCCATCCTGTGATTTCACCCCTACCTGTGCCTTCTAGTTCTTCTCAAACATGCACTTTTTGCTTGTTTGGTCCCAGATTGTGCCTGTGTAGACTGAATGAGGGGTTTAGGAAACCATTCTAAATATACCAAAAAGCTTTACCAAAAACAAAAAACCCTCAGATACCAGTAAACAAGGTCACTCAAGGGCAAAGCCACCTCCAGATTTCTGGTCTGCAGGTTCTGTTCCTGAATGCTGTTAGCACCTTAGGCAGGTTGTTCCACCTCTCTGGGTTTCAGCTGAGTCAGCGGCAGAGAAGGCCTAGATATTCTCCGTGGTTCCTTGTATCTTCAGATTTTTGGAGGCACAGATACAGGGAGGAAGCTGCGGAGCATGCTTCTGCTGCTCTGGCTTTGTAAGTCTCGCAAGCATTCTGTGGCCCAAAAGTATCCCAGCCACGTAACCCGGGCTCTGCCTTGGCTCAGTTTTCTTGAAGGAAGGCCAGCTGCAGTGGTTCAGGCAGCCATATTTAGCTTTGGGTTGATCTGGAAAGCAAGGACTCTTTCTTTGGACCACAGCCTCGCTGTTGCCATTTACAAGTGAGAGGAATGAATTACGGAGAAAAATAATTACCTCCACCCGAAGCCTGCCGGATGCGCTCCTCTCTGCCTGCGGCCCCAAGCCTGTCTTGCGGTATTGCTGAAGGCAGTATCAGTGAATCCATGTGAATGAGGTAGAGAAACACAGGAGACAAACCTCCATTTCTCAGCAGCCCGAGTCCACGCAGCGGCCCTGTGCAGGCCTCCGGAGCGGGCGTCTGGCAGGCGCTGTGATTGAAGGATGGCTCCGCGCTAGTCACCTCTCTTCCCTCAACTTGGCCCCCAGCGTAATTTCCCCCCTAGTGTCTGTGTCGTGGGGCTAAAGTAACTTACCCCTTTGACCATTAGGCCGCTAGGTTGGGGCCTGAGAGGCCTCTGTTAACATGTGGGCATATTAACACTGAAAGCCGTTATTGGCCGTTAACACCTTCAACTGATTTTTTAGGGGCATGGGCCAGATGAGTCATGGATGGAGAAAGAAAGGAGGAAAAGATCTAGAACCTCGGGCATTGCTGAAGAGGGTGGATCTGAGTGACGGTGCAGGGATAGCCTCAGAGCAATTGGCGCCGTCTAAGAGAGAAGAGGACCGGAAGTGCAAGCTGAGAGCTGTGTGGGTCAGAGGAGGGAGGAAGCCCATCCCGGTGGCTGTCGGGAAATGAGATAGGGCTCCAGGAGAAGATGCTGTTTGAGCTGATCCTGGTGATTTGGATGGGTAGGAGTGGGAAACTTCCTAAACCAAAGGAACTGAATGGGCAGAGACTCTGAGGTGGCCAAGTACCACGCAGGCCATGCTTGAGAGAGCCGTGCAGGATTCAGAGTACGATAGGAGCACCTAAATGAAGGATGGGAGGTTGGAAGCTTTGTTGGGGAGACGGTGTGGAGGCACCAGAGTGGTCGGCTGAGCCGTTGCTGGGATATCTGTGGGCAGGTAGCTTCTGCCAACCGCCGATCCAAGTTGAGTTCACTCCTTGGGTGGTAGGTGAAAGCCGTATAGTACACATGGAAAGTTCTTCCCCAGCCTCCCACCCTCAGACCGCAGGTGAGAGCGCAGCGTGGGGTAGAGGCATTCCACTCCCAGTCAGGGAAGCCGTGCCCCATTAGAAGGTCTGTGATGTCTCAACAGGCATATTTCTGTCTTTCAAACAAGTTGTTGGGAGATTACTAAGAAGATGTCATTAAAGAATCTGGTTTCCAAGAAGAGAAGTCAGCCAGAATACCTAGTCCTGGAAAAGACCATGGTTTAAATTATATGAAAACAGAAAATAAAATGTCTCCATTGGCTGGGGGCAGGAGGAGGTGAGGAGGGTACAAGGATGGTACCCAAAATACCAGTCGCAAACAGAAAAGAGAACACTTTGTAGACATGATAGAAATCAAATGAAGAATCTGTGTTTCTGTGGATATGTTTTCTAAACAAGGTTCTAGCACGTGGTCATCTAGAATGAATCTACCGTGGCCAACAGCCAGCATCCTGTGCTCAAAATAATCAGCTCATCTTTTTGCTTATACAAATGGCAGTTGCTAGCAGGATATAAAATATATATGCAACCCAGTCTTAACCCTAAGGGAATACATCAGAAAAAAGAAAGGAATAAAATATGCTGGAACAGAGCAGGTAAAAGTTGCCTCTGGGTAATAGAATTATGAGTCACACAGGTTATGGCAGTGAAAATGCTTCTTAACATTTCTCTGTACTTGAAACATATAACTTAGTAATTATGTGTTATTTTGATAGTTGGAGCAGGGGTAGTATATAGAATGGTGTAAGAAAAAAAAATGTGGTAATAGAGAAATGACTCCCATAGAAAATTATTCCTTACTTGACACTGACCTGTCACCAAACCAGGAAAGGTTGGGTCAAGATGAGGTTAAGTTGCTGCAAGCCTGGTAATGTCCTCTAATGCTGAGTTTCTCCTTCCCTTCCCCTTTTCGGCTCCGTAGTAGCCAACTGTGCAGTTCACCTTTTCTATCTTTTCTTTTTTTTAAACAGTTCATGGATCCTCACTCTCCTTGGTTTCCAGCACGTCATCAATTTATTCTACAGTGAGTATAAATCAATGTTGTGTGGCTCTCCCTGTCAAAAATAAAATAGCATGTCTCCTAGAGAGAGTATTTCCATTATAAGGGAATCAATTAATTAGGGAACAAGGGTTGAAATTCACAAACAGTTACTGATGTACCAACCAATAAATCAGGAGCTGACTTTTGTTAAAGTGGCATTGTGCTTCGAGTGGTAACTAGTTAGAATGTGTGAGATGCCTTTTTCAACTTTGTGTCTGCCTCAGTTTCTTTGTCTGTAAAGTAGAAAGGACAGCAGCCCCTACCTTGTGGCATTGTAATGAGAATTAAAGTTATGAATATTACTGTTCACTGCAATATAAATTCCTTGAGGACAAGGACTTTTTCTGGTTTTATTCCTAGTGCCTAGAACCGGGCCTAGCATATAGTAGGTGTTCAAAAAATACATTTGCGTGAAATAAGAAAATGCACGTAAAGCAATGAATAGAGTGTATGCAGCACAGAGGAAGCTCTCGTAAATGACAGCTGTCATCCGTGAGAGGTCTACTGAACAAAAGCCAAACAATCCAGTATAGTACTGGATTTATTCAGTATGCTTACTTTTTATAGCTCTGTGCATAACTATCTTAAAAACTTTAACTCGGGAATTCCTGTAGGAAAAAAAGCATTTGATTAATTAGGAATTGGGAATTCTTTAGCCCTTAATTCCATGGAGGACAGATGTTTTAATAATTCAGTTTTTGGTAATGCCAGATGTCTCGGCTCTGTAGTGGGACAGACTGTAGATAGCCCCCTGTAAGTTAAAGACCATCCCAGAATTAAGCCAGAGAGCCCAGGGCCTGACTGTCTTTCGTAGGCCTATAGCGAGCAGACAGACTTCAGTGGTTGCTGACACGGTTTGATTTGAAGGACCTAGAAACATTCTCTTCTGCTCCTACCCACCTTGCCCCTCCAATTCCACAGTACCTCTTTCCTCTGCTAGTCATCTTGTCTGAAGTTTTATCAAAGTCCTGGCTTTCATTTTCAAGACTTTATATATGATAACCTTGGGAAGGGGTTATTTAAGCCGTTATCCAAGAAAGCATAGGGATGGCCTTCTAACGATCAGCTATTGCATCTACTGAGTCCTTTCGTCTAGAATGAAACTCTGTGACATGGGTACCAGCCCAGAGTTGGTACTTTTCCGCCTAGATTCACTTCTTCCACAGTATTTACTGGCACCAAGTATTGATATATGCCAGGCTCTGGGCTGAGCCCTGAGGGCGTGGTTTAGGTGGAGGGAGGAGCCTGCTGCCGAAAGAGGAAGTCAGAGGCACAGAGGGCACGGCGGGGGGGGGGGGGGGGGGGGGAATCTAGTTTCACAGGGTTGGTGCAGTGCAGACATTTCAGTGCCCAAACCCCATGTTTTCCCAGGGAGTTCCCAGGGTTTCCTGTCAACACACTTTTCATTCAGAAAAGTGAAAAATGGGGGCTGGCCTGCGTCAGCCAGCCTGGGAGGGAAAGAGCACGAGCTCCTCCACCTGTGAGAACTCAGCTGCAGGAAGCCATCACTTGTAGTTCCTGGCTGCTTCCCCTTCACGCCAACCACCGGGAGTTCTTACAGCTACAGGCCTCTCTTTCAGTAGCTCTTGTTCTAGGTGTGTGGACCTGAAGTTCGTGTTTTCATGAAATTTGAAATTGTCCTTTCTGAGGTGATACAAATTCACAAATTACCAAAGACCTAATAATAATAATTTTTAATTCCATGTTTATCTGGATAGCAGGAGACCCGAGGCCTATTCATAGTTTTTCCCTTACTGTTTGACTTTGGACAAATTACCTCCTTATTCTGGGGGTCTCCGTTTTGCCCTTGGCCTCAGGGAGCTAGGCCAATTGGTCTCTGAGGTCCCTACAACCTCTGACATTCCACTAGTCAGTGAGTCAAAGGTTCCCATGGACTGTTCTTTATATGTGCCTCCTCTGAGAATGTAAGTTGCTTTTGCAGACTTTTTACAAAATACTCTAACCTTTGAATATTTTCATGATGGAGTGGTATGCTAATTCCAAGGAAAACTGCAAGTCTGGCCAGACTCTGCTACCACCAAGCAGTGGTGTGTGGTCCCTTATCTATTATTAGCTCCTTGGTGATGATGAAATTCAGAAACAAATGCTCAGGCGCCTTTGTAAATGAAAAGGTAAATAAGTTCGTATTTGTTGTCTAAAAAGAGATCCTTGGAGTCTCTTAAGTTGCCACCAACCCAGACCAAAGAGTCTGCTTAAGGCCAGAGTGTTTTAAAGGCTCTTATTGGATGATAGTAGGCTTTCTCCCCCCTGAAATCCCTGTAATTCTTAGATATTCAATAATGTTCATTCTGGCTGCAATTTGCCTGTAATTTTAATTCCAAAGGAAAGAAAAGACAGCCTGATGCTAAATAAGTGCCGTGAAGAGGTCGCGGCCGGCCCTTGGAGTAGAAAACATTGAAGAGGCCACATGTGGCATCAGATTGGCTTTCTTGGTTGGTGGGGAGCAACAGTTGAGTTCCCAGGGGAACTGCCTAGTGGAGAGAGGCCCGGAGCTTCTCTCGGAGTTCCCAGATGTACAGAAGAGCAGCAGCAGCTGGGGCAAGATACAAAACACATGATTTCTCCAGGCTGCTGTTGAGAACAGGATTCCAACCCCAGAGACAGGTGGGCACCGAGACAGACAGTGGCAGCCGCCCAAGGAAGGCTGTTGATAGAAGTGTTTAGAAGTAGGGCTGGTCCTCCGTGGATGGTTCAGCCTGCTAACAGACCTCCATTCGCCTCCCAAATGTTAGATAGCTGTGACGTTATCACCATTAACTTTTCTCCTTTGGATCAGACTCAGAAGCCAGGGCCTTATTTCTGGAAGGCCTCCAGGAGAATGTCGCTATAGTCAGAGCAGGAGAAAGTGCTGGTTAAGATCATAGGCTCTGGAGCCAGACTACCTTGGATCCAATCCCAGTTCTATCACTTATCAGCTGTCGCCATGAGTAAATTATATCAGTACTTTCTGAAAGGGTTGTTATGAGGATTAAATGAATAATGAATGTCAAGTGCTTGGAACCGTCTCTGGCATATAGTAAGTGTTCAATAAAATGCTACTTATTATTACCAGAACGTAAGCAACATAAGATGTGAGGGACTTGGTCATGTTCACAAATGTATCCCAGGTTCTTAAAACAGTGCTTGACACGCAGTTAGAAATCAATCTGATGGTGGCGGGGATGAATTGATGGACAGGCAGACGGATAGACAAACAGAGGTGGCTGAATATTATCAGAGAGGGAAGAGTAAGCCCTGAGGACTTCTCCAAACCTTCTCCTGAAAGTGTTTCTTAGATGGGGAGATTGTCCAGCTGTGTGACTTTAGGCAAGATATCTAACCTCTCTGAGCCTCAGATGGAATACAAACCTACTTTGTGGAGTTACTGCAAGGATTAACTGATTTGGCCCCAGTGCACCTAACAATTAGTTACTGCTGTTAGAAGCCAGCCTGGAGGAAGGGCTTTCTGGGGCAGGATCAGGAGTGAGGGCGGTGGGAGCAGCAGGACATGAAGGGCGGTCAGACAGGAAAGGGCTACCCACCTGTCCCAGCTGTTAGATATCGGGACTGCGGGGCCTAATGAATCATACCCCTCTGCATCCTGAACTAATCGAGAAGTAGAAACCAGATGCTGACTTTTTAAAAGAATGGGTTTATCACTAGTGAAATTGGATTAGGACACACATAGAGGACTCAAGGACAAAACAGGGTCCTTCCTAATTTTCACTCACCTACCTGGCTCCCAAGTCACTGTTCCACCCCAGTGAAGTGCAAATGGTGGGGTGTGGAGAGAAGGGCAGGAACACTTCCAATATTTCCAAGAAAGGGCGTGTTTGCGGAGGCAGTTGGGGAAGATTGGGGGTTTCTTCATTTATGGACCCCCCCCCGGGAACCCCAGAAGAGAGAAGGAATAGTTCCCCCTGCTTCAGGTCCCCCCAACCCATGTGGGCTCCCCCTATGGGAAGAGGTAGGTAGCTCGTAGTCTCTGGCCGGCCGACTGCTGTGACACCCCAGACCCAGGGCCCAGTATGGAAGGCTTTGCCGGTAAGAGGGCCTACAGGCTTCGTCTTTACTCCCCAGGGTCACAGGTAACTGGGGGACTAGAGATGGAGCAGCAGGAAGGGACAGGCCACCTTCGTCCTTACAACCTGGGGAGTCACCAGGCTGGCTGACAGGGGTTCCCAGCCCCCGCCCCCCCACTTCAGGAACCTTCCTGACCTGCTGCTTCAGTGCCCTAGGGAGATGAGAGGGAGGGATAAAACGGGGCAGAATTAATCTATGAGCCGTCCTCCCTGCCTCCCAGGTAGGATCGCCAGATTACATACAGAATGCCCAGTTAAATTTGAAATTCAGGTAAACAACGTATAATTTTTTACTATAAGTATGTCCCCAATATTGCATGGGACATACTTAAACTAAAAAAAATTCAAACTTAACTGGGTGTTCTGTTTTTTTATTTGCTAAATCTGGCAACTCTGCCCTAGCGTACCCCCTTCTCATCACAGCTTCTCCCTGTCGTCATCTCCACATGGGGACAGGGGGCTCCTCACAACCAAAACAGGAGCGTATTTCCTAATTCTTTCTCATTTCTTAAAATAATGTGCTGTTCGTATTTGGCCTTTCTGATTGGTCATATTAATTGAACCACTTTATCCAGAAAAGTCCATCAGGAAAGAAACTAATAAATCTTTAAGACTGCTGTAAGTGTCCAAATATGGTACTCCCTGTAGGCACGATTATACTGTTCTTAGCTCCTCAACTGGTCTAATTTCTTCTCTGTTTTTCTTTACAGCCAGAAGAAAAATGCCAGTCAGAGGTAAGGAAGAGTTGGCTAGTTGGATTTCGTCTTTCGCTATTATCAATTATTTCTCCCAGCTCATCCTGTAAGTAGACTCCCAAAGCAAGTAACTCTGGCCCTGTCGTCTTTAGATTCGCAAACTACGGCGGGAGCTGGATGCCTCCCAGGAGAAGGTTTCCGCTTTGACCACCCAGCTGACAGCAAATGTGAGTACAGACCCAGGGCGGTAGCCATTGCTACCTCTGAGCATTATAGAAGCAGTGTGGTGTAATAAAAAGGACATAGACTTTAGCATCGTGGGTGTGAGTGTCAGCTCTGACACTTACTGGCATTGTGCTTTGGGCAAATTCTTTAACTTCTGAGCCTGCCTTTGCTCATCTGTGTGTTGGGGAATGATAATGTTTAGCTGTCAGGGGTGTCATGTGATCAGTACCTGAAATAGATTAAGTGCTCAGAAATGTTCATTTCCCTTTCTCTTTCTGAAAATTTTCATCTTAAGAGAAAAAAAAAAAAAAAGTCTAAGGCTCCACCGTAAATAGCTGACTGCTCTGTAATGATAATATACACAAGTACGTGTTCAGGAGGCACTGCCAACTGGCGTTCAATTCAGCAACTGTTTGAGTGCCAACTATGCCCCGGGTACTGTGGGTTCAACAGCAAAGCAGGCACAATCACTGTCATCTTAGTGTTCTTTGTCTGGTACAGCAGAGAGACAAAACAGTTTTGGTATAACATGATAGCTGTTGTGATAGCAATAAAGGGTGAAGGTTGCGGGAATATATAGAAGGAGCACCTAGATCAGTCTTGGTGGGGCTGGAAGAAGTCAGGAAAGGCTTCCTGGAGAAGGTGACATCTGATGAATGCTGTGTAGGGGAGGATGCATGGGAAGGACAGCATTCTAACCAAAGAGTAATTCGTGCAAAAGCCCACGGTGCATTTGGAAGCTATAAATAGCTCAGTGTAATTAGAATCTATGGCTTGGATGTGGGGAAGAGGCTGGGGTGGAGCGGGGAAGGAAGTGGAAAGGAGGGAGGCATCGAAGAAAGGCAAGGGTCAGGCCACATCATGGAGGCTCTCAGCTGTTAGGTGGTTAAGTCAGCTTCCTGACTGTGGTGTGGTTATAGGATGTGGGGGGTCAGAGTAGAGGCAGAGATCTCCTACCCCATCAGATCAGTCTATAAAGGAGCCCGCAGAGCCGTGAGTTGGCGAGGGCTGAGGCTCAGAAGGCAGAGCCTGAGGTTTTGGAAGGTGCTGAGATGCCTCAGAGGCAGGGCTTCCTGCTTGGGAGCGCACCACCCAGCTTGAGATCACATATCCGTGTGTGTGAGCCTGTCAGAAAGCCACCTGCGTGACTCCCAGCATGCTGTTAAAATGAAAAGCAACTTCAAAAGCTTGTCTTCTTTGGACCAGGGAGGTAATTAATATTTATCTGCAGCTTTTGCCCACATAATTCCTGGCTTGAGCCTGAGTCTACTCAAGGAAACTTTCCATTTCACTTTAAAGTCTGCACATGAAGTACCTAGCACGGTGCTTGACCTTGATTATAGGCTCAATAATTGGTAACTACCCATAACTGTTCATTCTCCCGAGCTCTCTTACATTTCTGGAAATCTTTGGGGGTTTTTTCAAAACCCTAATATACTAGGCTACTGTGTGGATTTTTTTTTTTTTGCGGTACGTGGGCCTGTCACTGCTGTGGTCTCTCCTGTTGCGGAGCACAGGCTCTGGACGCGCAGGCTCAGCGGCCATGGCTCACGGGCCCAGCCGCTCCGTGGCATGTGGAATCTTCCCGGACCGGGGCACGAACCCGTGTCCCCTGCACCGGCATGCGGACTCTCAACCACTGCGCCACCAGGGAAGCCCTACTGTGTGTTTTATAATCCTTTATTTTCTTGACTTCTTCCTCCATCGGTAACTCTATCCAAAGAAGATCAGAAATTGATGTTAGATCTGAAATTTGAGGCTTAGAGCCTAGTTAAGACGGCAGAGGTATTCTCCCGTGGGTAGTCTTCATCTCAGTAACCAGAGGCGTGCATTCGAATCCAGCACCTACCCCAGACCCGGTGAGCCAGGGGTCTCCTCGAAACATGTGAGGTTTGACAGCAAGTGATTTGGAGCTACTCCCCTAGTTAAGAATTACAGCTGCCAATGGCTGCCCCTTACTAATGAAAAAATAGTAAGTAATTTACTTATCAATGAACTTGGATGAATTCCTCCAGTGACCTCATGCTTCCCCAAGGGACCTTACATTGGGCCATTTGGAACTGTCCTCTCTGATCGAGAAGAATGAGATCTCTCACATATTATTATTATTTCAAAATAATTTGCTCTTCACAAAAGCTATTGAATCCAGTATTGTTTTCTTTTTTTCTTTTCTTTTTTTAAATTAATTAATTTATTTTTGGCTGCGTTGGGTCTTCGTTGCTGCGCACAGACTTTGTCTAGTTGCGGTGAGCAGGGGCTAGTCTTCGTTGTGGTGCGCAGGCTTCTCATTGCTGTGGCTTCTCTTGTTGCAGAGCACGGGCTCTAGGCGCATGGGCTTCAGTAGTTGTGGCACATGGGCTCAGTAGTTGTGGCTTGCAGGCTCAGTAGTTGTGGTGCATGGGCTTAGCTGCTCTGCAGCATGTGGGATCATCCCGGACCAGGGCTCGAACCTGTGTCCCCTGCATTGGCAGGCGGATTCTTAACCACTGAGCCACCAGGGAAGTCCCAGTATTGTTTTAAAGTAAACATTTAGTCTTGCCACACACTGCCAGCAGTGCTAACGTGTTTTACTGTCTGCCATCTTTCTTGCAGGCCAAGCTGTGTTTGTTTTTCTAGGACAAACTACTCAAAGCCACCTTCTCTGAGTGTTTTTATACCACTTGTGTTTGTTTTCCTGGGAGTACGAGATTGCTGCTTGCTGAGAAGGCTGTTGTGCGGCTCTAAACCAGCCTCCTGGCCCATATTTTCATAATCGAGATCGTGACACAAAGTCAGTCCTTTTGCTCACCAGCAAAATGCAATCCTCTGGTTCTTCAGAGCAAATGTGGTTCCTTCTTGAGTTGCAAAAACACTCTCTTGATAGCAGTCTTCATGGGGTCAGGTTTTTGCTTTTGTTTTTAACTGAAGAGAAATTTTGAGTGCCCACAAACAGAATCTTGGGGCAATCAAACGAGAATTGAAATAAATGGAAATTCTGTCATTTAAATTGGACCTTGTCATTCCTTTGAAATGCAAGGGTAGCAGTCATTCTTTCTCACATCCATGTCCTGGCTTCCTTCACTTTGTGAGTGTCTTGAATTGGTTGGCTTTTGTTCTGCCACATTGTCCCCGGCAAACTAAAGCATATCTCTTTATTTTAAAATGCAAAGACATTTTCTCAATTTTTAATAAAGAGAGAGCATGCAATCAGAAAGAAGCTGGCCAGTCCACTTAACATTTCTATCTCAAGTGCCCTTGCTCCCTGGCCAATGGAAAAGAGACTCAGCACTTGATCCTAGAGATGTCTTATCCTCCATCTCCCTGTTTGATGAAGTCCAGTAACCGAGGCCTCTCACTCACCCGTCACGTCTCTCCTCCTCAGACTGAAATGTCCACTGACCCTGACCCTCCTCACAGCACAGGGTGACGGCTCCCCGCCCACCCTTGTCTTCTTCACTCTGTGCATCAGTCACCTTTTCTCTAGAAGTTTCCAGAACCATCAGATCTCACTTCTCCCAAGACTCAAGTATCTTGCTGGTCCTTCTGATTCCTCCTGTGACCTTCTGTGTATCGACCCACCCCGCTCCTAGAACCCTTTCTTGATGTCTCCACACCTGTGTTCTCATAGAATCTTCTGTCACTTTCTCAGTCCCAAACCCCTTCCTTTCCCTGCAGTCTCTAGTCATTCCTGTGTTTTGCAATTCCTTATCAGTTTATAGGTCATTTTCAACTATATTGTTTCATTCAGTGCTCACAATCACCCTGGGAGGAACATAGATATTGCTTCCATTTTACAGATGAAGAAACTGAGGCCAGTAGGATTAGATGAGTTGTCCATTCTTTATTCTTGGTTTTAACAATATTATCAGGATCCTAGGTCAACTAACTAATATTTCACCTGCTGCTCTGTGGAAGAAGGAAAAAGGCTTAGTGTTGGGGGACAGAGTGGCATCTTGCCCTTGAAGAGGGTTTCAGAGAAAGGGGCAGATAGGGAAGCCTCACATTTCTCAATTCTATGGTATATATTTTTTTCATGTTTTTCACATCTCTGAAAATTGGATGCATATTTCAACTATAATTGGCGGCATTTTGAAAACTGTCTTTGTAAAATGTAAAATAATGGTGTGTCTGATGCTGTCAGATTCTAACAGGGATACAAAAGTGCAGGGGAGCCCCAGGGAAAGTCATAACTCCAGGGAAAACAGTGGGCAGGGTCTCTAAGGAGGTAGCAGATGGGCCTTTCGGTGGCTTTTCTATTAACCAGGATTATAACAAGCAACATCTGCCAACCACTTTGTTCATTTATCCTACGAACACGCTCAGCGTGAGGCTCTACTGTGAGCTTGGTGCTTGGGGAACAGAAGGTCATCCTGCCGTGTAGTGGAGACTGGCGTCAATCAGCATCACAAGAGTGTGTGTGTGTTTGACTGTGATACCACAGTGCGGTCCAGTGTGCTTGTGAGAGCGAATAGGAGGGAACCAACCCCATCTGGGGGTGTCTTGAAGGCATGCGCTGAGGTCTGTTGAGAAGGATGGGTAAAAATCAGTTAGGGAGGCAGTTGGGAGAAGAGCATTCCAGGCAGCGGGGAGAGCATGCAGAAAGGCCCTAAGGTGGGAAGAAGCACGGGGCGTGAAGGACGTGAAAGTCTAGAGTAACTGGATCCCAGAGAGTGGTGCGAGGTGGAGCTCAAGAGACTGAAGAAGTCGACGGGTTAACCCACGTGGCTCCATTTGGATTTCTGTCTTTGAGACCTGGCACCCTTCAGGCACTCCTACCTTGCAAGATAATGTAACTGAAGGGAAATGTGTCTTTCCCCTCCAGGCTCACCTTGTGGCGGCCTTTGAACAGAGTCTTGGAAACATGACAATCAGGCTCCAGAGCTTGACCATGACGGCCGAGCAGAAGGTAAAGCAGAAAGAAGGCTTCTTCCCTCCCTGCTTGGAATTAACAGCAAACCTAAAAACATTATTCTCTTTTATTCCAGAGAGTTGTATAGGTTTTAGTGTGCTTGTTGGACTGTTGCATTTGAATCTGAAAGAATAGGTCTGCTGAGTGAAAATATGACCTAGATGGAGTGGCAGTTAACTGCATCGGCAACGGATCTGAGTCCTATTCCTTCTGCGTTGATGTACCCGCATGTGCCTATTAAAAACTGATTCAACCTAATGTTTGAGACAAAGATTTCCTGCAACTCCTCCATTCTCTACCCTCCTCTAAGCTGACGCTAAGTTGTACTTCAGCTGAACTCGGTACAAAATGATTTGGGGATGACCACTGTTTTTTTCTATTCCTCAGGATTCAGAACTGAATGAGTTAAGAAAAACCATTGAGCTGCTGAAGAAACAGAACGCAGCTGCCCAGGCGGCCATTAATGGGGTAATTAACACCCCAGAGCTCAACTGCAAAGGTAAAGGGAGAGAAACAGACTCAGACCAGCGACCTGCCTGCCCTTAGGAACCCTCCCTTGACAATATATGATGCAACCTCCCTGCCCGAGGGTGGGTGTCCATGTCAGTCGGACAGGTCCTAGAAGGCACTTAATCCAGTTGCTTCCAGCCTCTAGGAAAACAGCTGTTCCAGCTCATCTTCTCTGATGTATCTCAAAATGGAAGAAAGTATATCTCTGTTGGCAAAGTGTCAAAGTATTTCATAGCCTTAACTTCACTAATGCTTTGATATTTACATGTGGACCTGGGACAGCCTGAAATGGGTTCGTCTCTCATTTGTCCCAGAAAATATTCTAGAAGGATTGCTTTGTCCTTGTGTATCTTACTTGGGTGGTGGGGGGAGATATGGGCATGAGGAGCAGTTACATCCAGAAAATGATATTAAGAGAACCGATAGAAAAGTAATGGTGAGAGTTAACATTTATGGAACATTCACCATGTTCTAAGCACTGTGCTCAGTGTTTACATGATTTCATTATTCCATTTTCTCTCCACAACACGCTTACAAGTGCAGTGCTGGTCCTCCACGCTGTACTGAGGGGAGTACTGAATTTTAGAGGCGAGAGTCCCATCCTGAGGCCACAGAGTGTGAGAAACAGAAATGGGACGAGAACCCAAGTCTGCCCCTGAAACCAGTGCTCTTAAAGACCGGGCTGTCGGGGTCGTTCTGTGATTGTGAGGAACACTGCCTGCAAACTTTATTTTGGTCTCACTACTGTTCTGGGCAGTGTTATTTCTGGTACCACTGTTATCTCAAACGTCAGACCTCCTGGGAAAGCGAGGCTAGAGGTGACGTGGGAAGGATTGGCAAGAGCTGGCCAGGCAGAGCAGAGGGAGAAGAGCATCCCAGGAAGAGAGAATGGCACCTGTAAGGTGGTGAGAGGACATGGGCTTGGCATGTCCAAGGGCATGAAAGAAGGGTGGTGCGGGAGGAGCGGGGAGAGCAAAGGAGGGGCGCTCACGACACAGATGACTATTGCCGCCACTCACAGACGCATTTTAGCTCAAAAGAGTGAGTGTGGGGGGTTCTCTAAGCCTCCCCTGACTTCTGTTTTGTAAAGTGGAGAGAGCCCTCCTTTAATTGACCAAAGAGGGCGTGGCACTCAGCTACACAAGGACCTTAAAACCAGCATCGCAGGGGGCTTCCCTGGTGGCGCAGTGGTTGAGAGTTCGCCTGCAGGGGACATGGGTTCGGGCCCCGGTCTGGGAGGATGCCGCGGAGCGGCTGGGCCCGTGAGCCATGGCCGCTGAGCCTGCGCATCCGGAGCCTGTGCTCCACAACAGGAGAGGCCACAACAGTGAGAGGCCTGTGTACCGCAAAAAAAAAAAATTTTTTTAATTTAAAAAAAACCCAGCATTGCGGAACAGAAGGTGATGTCTAATGGGAAATAGCTCCTAGTCCTTGGGTGTGTGGATTTAGGTGTAAATCCTGGGGCAAAGGAAGGGGCTCCAGTCAGCAACTCCTGATGTCCTGCCTTGGGTCTCCAGGAAATGGTACCTCCCAGTCCGCAGACCTCCGTATCCGCAGACAGCACTCCTCCGACAGCGTCTCCAGCATCAACAGTGCCACCAGTCACTCCAGCGTGGGCAGCAACATAGAGAGTGATTCAAAGAAGAAGAAGAGAAAGAATTGGGTAAGTGTGCATCCAAAGACTCTCGTGGGCACTAGCAGAGTCAGGCTTGGAAACGGTGTGCCCCAGATAAAGCCCAGGCTAGCTCTTACCTTCACGACATAGGCCTTCGGGAGTCGATCCAGAGAAGTGGCTTGTGGACAGGTTTCTACTAAAATCAGTGTGGTGCTCAGTCAAACCCTAGGATTTATGAAATAACTGCCTCTTTGTAGTTTTTCTGTTTCATGAGACTACGTGAAGCACTCATCTTTCATTTCATATGTGTCATTTCTTCCTAATCATAGGCTGGCCACAGAGTTCCAGTTACTAGAGCGAAGTTACTCTTAAGTGGTTTTTCCCTTAGTTCCAAAGTAGTTTTTGGAATATGTATCACTAGTTATCCCATCATTAACCGTAGTCCTTATCTATTTATTTACATAATTGCCTATGATAGCATTAAATCACCCAGCCTTGTCTTTGAAATGTTTTCGACCATTTGCTGTAAGTAAAAGCTTCATAATGTAGTTGTTAGCAGTTAGTGAGCGGTTCTAAATTGGCGGGGGGTGGGGGATCATACCTCAAAATAGCAAATATAATAGAACCAGTGTCCAATGCAGTGCTTCTCCATGTTTCCATAATCCCATCGAGCTACTTGGCCTTCTGTACAGTGGCCTCTTGAACAGTGTTTCCCATTCTTCTTGGGAAATTCCGCTCCCCTCTCCCCACCCAGTTTTTAGTTCTGCTGTCAGGGCTGTGACAGTTCTGACAGACGTTTGCTGCCCGCCGACTTCAGTGCAGGGACACCCCAGGTTGATCTGAAGTTGGCCAGGACTCACAAGGCCCCGTTTGTCCATGCTGACAGCATCGTGTTTTCACAGTAGCTTCATCGTCCTCATTCATTCCATGCACTTCCCCCTCATCTTGTGTTATCTTGGATGGGTGGCGAGGTCTCCTGATGGAGGAGTCGAGGATTTCGTCATTTTGCTTATTGATGGCTCGCATCGGAGGCAAGCCGAAAGGCCAGTTCAGTGTGGTCCTCTCATTGTTCCGATGAAATTTTTCCTTATGTTACTAATGGCTTTTAGTCAACTCATTTGCTGTGACTTAAACCCACAGAATTAACTCATGTTTCTAATGTGCTGTTGATAAATACGGTCTGATTTAATTATCACAGTGATGAGAATTATTTTCTATGAAAAATCATGATTATCCATTTTCTTTAATTCAGGAAATAAAACTTGTTTATTTTAAGACCACTCTTGGTCACCGGTGCAATTGGGGAGGATGGATAATTGGCACCCTCAGGGAATCCCAGAGCTTGCTTTTGTCTAATCTTTATCATCTGCTCTAATGCCGAGCATTTTACCAGAGGTTGAGGGCAAGGATTTAGGTTGATGTATACCAGATCCTTCTCTTTCTAGGACTACTCTCTGGAAATACGGCCATAAGTAGGAAATGGGAGAGAAATGAGATCCAGACTCGCCCACAAGCTGGACATGCAGATTGTTACGGGTGAAACTTTGATGGGAGACAATTCCCATTATTTCAGAATGGCCCATCTTCTGAATTTCACAATGGCTAAGAAAATGTCCAGAATACGTTTTCAGTAGGAGAAAAAAGACTTTAGAAAAAGGAAATTACTTTTTAAGAGACATTTTTCAAAATGAAACTTCATTTTTTGGCCTAGAAAAATACAAGCTTATCATGGCTTTCAGAGCAGACCTCGCACTTTAAATTCTTTATGTTCTCCCTAGAATTTTCAGATCCATCTCATGGTTTGGGGAATCTGTGATATACCAGTTCCTTTTCCCCAAGATGGTTAATACATTTCTTTAAAATATCATTTTTTTGAGCAAGAAGCGAGACAGCTAATTTTCTGCTTTTATCATATTACGTGTATAGAAGGACTGCAGCAGCTCCTAAGTGTACATATCAAAGAGCTATGCAGCCATGTTGGGACCAGTGCAGCAAAGAAGCTACCCTTGCTAAGAAAAGAAGACATGCCAAAAAATAATAATAATAATAATAATAAGGCTTAGAGATGACTGATAAAAGGCCAGAAAAGAGTGAGGAGTATAGGAAGGTGGGACAGTCATTTCAACCAGACAGAGAAGCTTGCAGAGCTCGGATTATAGGGGCCTCCAGACTCTCTCTTCCTCTCCTTCCATAATAGAGGAGGATGCCCTTAATGCTTTGAAAGGTTCTTGATCCTACCGGAAACCTCCTCTCTGTATGGTGTTTATGATTAGCCATGTCATGTCTGAAAAGTCCGAAGCTTTCCCTGTCACTGGCTTTCTCTGTTAAAAATTGTCTTTTTTCCTTCCCCTTCCCCATTTTTGCTTGCGTTTTCTCTGGCAGGTCAATGAGGTAAGCAAGACCAACGTGAATATCAGATACCAAGCTAACCCATCCATTGATATGACTAACCTCATCTGCATCCGTCACCGTGTCTGAGCACCCCACTTTGTTGCTGTGTCACCTCCTCCTCTCGACACCCATCTGCTGAGCCAGGCTCTGTCCTGCTGTTGGCATCTAGTCTTGAGCCAAGAGTAGGCATGGAATGTTATCCACAGGTCCAGTCCCCTGAGCTGTCGACACCAGATAACTCTTCTTCCCTTAATGCACTGATTTGAGAGAGCTGTTGGGAACCTTTTCCATTGCTGGGGGGAAAGCGTGGGAGAAGTAATTTGCTGTTCACTCTGCATGTCTCCGTTTTGCCGGGGCCTAAGGGGTGGTCTCAGCTCCTGCCAGGCTGACGGTCTTGTGTATTCAGTTACGCAGCTCCTTCAAGCAAGCCTTCGGGAAGAAGAAGTCCCCCAAGTCGGCATCCTCTCATTCAGACATTGAGGAGATGACGGATTCTTCTCTGCCTTCCTCACCAAAGTTGCCACACAATGGTCCCATGGGCTCCACTCCCCTGCTGAGGAACTCTCACTCCAATTCTCTGTAAGTCTGTGTCTGCCGGGGTCACTCGGGTCAGACGGCACCTTTGGGCCCTGGGAACCCTCTCCAGCAGGAATGGCTAGGAGTCCTGCAATGTTCCTTGGGGTCCTTTGTGTCTTGCATTCATAAGACCGTGCACATTCTTCCGGTGTTTTAGGACCAGAGAGTTTAAAAGAGAAGGGAAATGAGTTTCTGTTCTGCTGGCATCGGTGTGCATAATTAGCTGGCTGGGGGCTTCCCTGGTGGCGCAGTGGTTGAGAGTCCGCCTGCCGATGCAGGGGACGCGGGTTCGTGCCCCGGTCTGGGAAGATCCCACATGCCGCGGAGCGGCTGGGCCCGTGAGCCATGGCCGCTGAGCCTGCGCGTCCGGAGCCTGTGCTCCGCAGCGGGAGAGGCCACAACAGTGAGAGGCCCGCGTACTGCAAATAATTAATTAATTAATTAATTAATTAATAATTAGCTGGCTGATCTTGGGCAAGCGGCTTAACCTCTCTTTGTTTCCATTTCTTTGTCAAATTGGGATAATGGTTGTCTCCTTATCCTATCCTAAGGATTGAACAAGATAAGCGGATGTGAAGAGCACAACAGCCGTTGTGCTCTGACAGGGAGATGATGGTATAAGTGTTGGCAGTTTGGGCTGAAATTCTGGTTCACTTGGGTGACGGGGCTTAGAGAGATTATACTTTTCTTCTTTGATCGACATTTAGTGTTGACTCTTTCTCTGAGGTCAGCACTCAGAAATAAGACTTTAAAAAAACAGAGCAATTCAGTGACGCTTCTCTTTACCAAAGGGCTCTATATTTCGTCAAGTGACTCATCACCATGAACTCACCCAGTCGACTGTAATGAGTCAGTTTGCACAGAGCCCTTTGGGAACACAGCTGGTTAGTGAGACGGGCGATTGCTCCTTTGGCCTTGCCTTAGGTGCTGTTGCCCTTGGCGGAGGGGTACACAGAAGGGAAGAGTCATCTCCTCTTGCCCAGCCAACCTCCCGTGCTTTCCACCGAGCACCCATTGAGCACTGTTCCATCAGGGCCCCATCTCAAAACATGAGGCCGAGAATCTAGAAAGAGGTCAGGAATGGCTTGGGACAGACAGGCGGGGACCCAGGTGTCTGTTCAGAAGGTGGCACCGCTGACTCCCTGCAGCAGTGAAAAGGATTGCCCCTGCAATAGGGCAGTCAGAGCTAGGGCTGAGTTCCATCAGAGCCCTTGGCATAACCAGGCGAGGAGTGAAAGAGGAACCAGAGCTCAGGTGGTCTGCAAAGGCAGTTTCTGCGAGATAAGACAGTGCCTGGGGAAAGAGGACCGCTGTGGCTGGGGTCAGAACAGCCAGCGAGCTAGGGTTGGACAAGGGGTGGGGGTAGTGGTAGACACCGCAGTTTCTTCACTGGTGAAAATGGGATCTGCCTCACTGGGTGCTCGTGAGGGCCGACTCAGATCCCGTGCGTGCAGGGCAACCTCCTTCCGATCTCAGGAGGTCAGGTCTGGCGCCATCCCCAGGTCCACTCCGCCCGCAGAAGACAGCGGCCTGCATCAGCGTCCCCAAAGCCAGCTCACCAGATGGGTGCAGGCGAGAGGATGGGCCAGGCCTTCGTAGCACGTCGCCTGCCCGGACTGCACACACGACAGGCAGTGCAAGAAGGAGACAGAGCGTAGAGCCCGGACTTTTTTATGAACCCACCTACCAGTGAAGCATGGCCTTCTCAGGGTGTCTGCTTTACTTAGGTCAGCAGCTCCTCTTCTCTCGGGGAGCACCCTGGTAAGAGGGAGGCTGTGCGGACGGGCACGTCCATTCTGGGCAAGGGTGAAACCCCGAGCGGGGGGGTAGAGAGGAGCGCTGGAGTGCAGTGCCCGCCTGAGGCCCCGTGTGCTGGTGTGAGGGTTAGACTGGTGTTCAGGAGCGTGAGTCCTGTTTGACCTGAAGAGTGCCCAAGAGGTAAATAAAGGACAAGCTGCCCGTGACTCACCTGCCATCATCCCGGAGCATCTCAATCCAGTTGTTCGTTTCCCGGCCAGGAGAAAAAGGAACTCTTCATCTGTTCTTTATGTATTGGTATAAACTTCTCATATGCCAGCCTGTGTGAGCAGGACACTACCCAAGACGGTTCTGGAGAGACCAAAGAGAATATTAACCACCCCTGGGGATTAGGGACTACGGGGACGTGACACGGTAGAGCTGCATCTCCTGGCATCTGCTCCGTGCCAGGCGCTGTTCTTGGCTCCGGTGACAGTGTACGAGACAATCACGTCCTAACTCCGGTGTAGACCCTGTATGTCAGGGGGAGAGACGGGCATTAAGCACAGAAATCTGGATAAACTAGAAGAATCAGATAGTGCCAAGGGTTCATGCTGGGAACGGAAACAGTGTGTTGGGATACAGAGTACCTTGGTAGCAACTGCAGACGGGGGTCCAGAAAGGCCCCTCTGAGGAGATGACGTTTCAGCCGAGATCTGTGTGCCAGGAAGAACCCCTCGTTAGTTCTCGTTGGTAACACTAGCTGCTGTGACAAACTCAGTCGCAAAGGTCAGCGCCTTTACCTGCGACTGTCGGTCTCTGCTTCCTTCCAGACCCAACACAGATAACACTCATGGGCAGGCGGCCTGCCGTGTGGTGATGCCGGCACCAAGGCTCCCTCTGTCCCGCGGGCCCGTGTCCTCTGCTGAGTGTCCAGCCAGCAAGCGGGGAGGGGAGAGAGTGTGGAGGCCCTGCAGGCATGTGTCGTGGGCCAGGCCTCTTCCCACCGTCCACTGAGCAGGGCTTCCGACCTTGGCGGGAAGACGTGACATGAGTGTGCCCGGGAGGGGAAGGAGGTGGGCCATCGTAAACCCGTGGCCGACTCTGCCTGCCAGCAAGCAGGGCAGCCCTCCCGACAGAACCCAGAAGCAGGCCCGGTGTGTGTGAGAAAGGGGAGGCTAGCCAGCCTGGCTGCCGCGTCACGGGCGCGTGAGGAAGTGGTGGGAAGGAAGGCCGGCCATGCAGAGGCGGCGCCCAGGCCATGTGAGGCTTTGAAGCCAAGGTGAACTTGCAGCTGATGTCCTGTGTGATAAGTAGGCTTTGGAGAGTTTTCAGCAGGAGCGTGAGATCATCTGAATTAGCTTCACAAAGGTGGGAGTCTCCGTTCAGGGGGTCAGGGACATAGTGGGGCAGGAGTGGAGGAGGGAGACCATGGAAGAGGCTGACGGCCACTCTCTCCACCAGCTGCTCTGGCCCATTTCCTGTTCTTTGAACTGGCCACTCACACCCCCACCTCCCCGGGCCTTTTGCCCTTTCGGTGCCCTCTGCCTGGTGTGCTCCTCCCCAGAGATCCACTTCCTCCAGGCCTCTGCTCAGTGTTACTACCCCATCCGTAAGGCCTGGCCTAGGCACCTTGCCTAAAACACCCCCCCACCAGCCAGCACTCCCAGCAGCCCCCTGCCCGTTTTATTTTTCACCGCTGCAAATATCGCCATCTGCCGTGGAGCTTTTCCTTGCTTATTTTTTCTTTGCCCCTGCCCCCCAGTCTACAGCTGAAGCTCCGTGGAGGTAGGTGGTCTGTTTCGCGGGCGTTCAGATACTAGGTGGAATGAGTGAGTCCCGGATGGACTTGGGATATATTCTGGAAGGAAAGTTGAGGGCACGTGGTGATGTGGATTGTGAGGGAAGAAGAGTCCTTGAATATTCCTAGACCTGCCACTTGAAGACTTCGGTGTGTGGTGGCGTTGTTTCTGGCATGAGTGGGAGACACACTCCATGAGTGGGGCCAGGTGGGGATCAGCGGCTCTGGTTTGACCGTGCGAAGCTTGAGATGCCCAGGAGACATCCCTGTCGAGATGCCAGCCAGCCTGGAGTTCCTGGAGGTGGAGGTTTGGGAGATGTGGCCTCCGTGGTGGTTTCGAAAGCTGGGAAGCTGGAGGGATTCTCCAAGGGATTGAATGGAGATGGCGAAGAGGCAGAGGGGCAAGGACTGAGCTCTGGGGCTCTCTCATATCTGAGGTTCAGGAAGAGGAAGTAGAGCAGCCAGCGAGGTGGGTGGAAACCCAGAAGCAGAGAGAAGAAACTGTTTGGGGGCGGGAGTAGTCACTGGGCCAGACGCTGCCGGGCGGCCAAGCAGCGATACATTCAGCGTACGGGGCTCCCGGAGCCTGTAGCAGGAGCGCTCCCCCAAACCACTTTCCCCATAGGGACCGGGCGGGCAGGCGGGCCCACCGTTTGGCTCGGCAGCCCTTTCCTGACATTCCACAGCATCCATGCACACTAGAGATGTTTGCTTTGGGTCTGATTTTCCAAAGCGTGGGCAGAGAGCAAATGCTTCTTTCCAGCCTTGAAGGGTTTGTAAGAAAGTGCAGATCTAGACGCGAGAGGGCGTTCAAAGAAGAAACCAAAGGCAGAGGAGTCGGGGCTCAGAAAAGTTCCTACCCCGTGGGCGGAAGGAATGGCCGTGTGGGAAGGCAGCGTTTCCCACACTAGGGTGTGTAAAGTTAGGTCTGCCCCCAGCCCTGCCTCCTGGGCGTGACGGCAGGAATATGCTGGGATTAAGTGTTAGGGGCTGAGTAGGAAAAATTAACATCGGGTTGCTTCAGTAAGTGGTCCATAGAGGGGACCAGTGTGTGTCCATCCACGCCTACTGGATGAAGTCCAGGAGCTTGCACCCTGGAGTTAAGCAGACCCATCAGACTTGTTACTGATTCTCACCTTTTTTTTTTTTTTTTTTGCGGTACGCGGGCCTCTCACTGCTGTGGCCTCTCCCGCCGCGGAGCACAGGCTCCGGGCGCGCAGGCTCAGCGGCCATGGCTCACGGGGCCCAGCCGCGCCGCGGCATGTGGGATCCTCCCGGACCGGGGCACGAACCCGTGTCCCCTGCATCGGCAGGCGGACTCTCGACCACTGCGCCACCAGGGAAGCCCTGATTCTCCCATTTTTAATGGGCATGTCAATTTCTTTCTGTCTCAGCCTCCCCGTTTTTAAAATGGAGATAATTGTAGTGTCTCTTCCCGAAAGTTAGTAGTGTACGTAGTGCATTAAATAATACGCTACAGATGCCTGACACAGTGGTCTATGTATTCAGTCAACATTATGTGCCGATCAGTGTGATCAGATACTACAGATGAGGCAGAGAAGAACCCTGGTCCCAGGGGAGCCAGGGGCCATGCAGGGAGGGATTATCAGTGACTCGGCAGAGCCAAGGGAGAAGGTTCTGTCCTGGGCAGTAGGCCCAGGGGGACTAACTCTTAGCTGGGGCTTGTTTTCAACATCACCTCTGTTGTAGGCCACCCCTCCTGTGCGGCCTCGCTGTGCTGTGCTTCTGAGAACTGGCCGATCTGTGGGGGGCACGGGAGGGCCTTGGACTCCCGGCAGAGTTTCTTCCTTTTAGTTCGCTTCCCTTTGTAAAGTCATTGTTTGGCCAAGCTTCACAAAGTAACCCATGTGATAAATTCCACAAAGTGGGTGCGGAGGAGATGTTGTCTCTCTTGCTGAGAAAGCTTTCTGGGGAAAAAGCACAGGCCACGTGAAGGAGACTGGAGCAAAGCGCCTTGCCGTGTGACAGACAGACAGACAGACAGGGTGGACTAAAGCTGATTGTTCTCTGCAGTGAACTGGCATCTTCGAGATCTATGCAGGACATGGTTTGGCGAAGACCAGAATGTCACGGTGGAACTTTGTTCAGACTTTACACTCCATTTAAACCCAGAAACCATAGTCCTTCCCCAAGAAAGAACCAGTTTTTGCAAGCTCCCCTCGGAAACCTCCCAAACCAAAGAAAGTATGACTGTATAGTTAAACCCTACAAACCACAGGCTATCCAAAGCACAGAGAGCTGGGGGGTTGGCGGGGGCAGAGGAGGATCTGATTTCTAAAGACATTACTGTCTCTCTAGCCCTTTTAGTCCCAAATCTGTTGGCCTCAGCTTCTCATAGGTATGAAATGGGAATAATTATTAGATTTTTCGAGGGTCTGTCGGAGGTTTCAGATTTTGAAGCGGAGAAGTTTTCTTGGATGCTGACAACGTTTTAAAATAGGAGATGATTTTGTATCTCTCAGAACCGTTCAGGGTTCAGGTCAAGAAAGTAGCCACAAAAAGATTTGGCTGTTCAGGCGTTACATTTTTCTTCTAGTCCTTTCTGCCCCTGAAATACATCTCTTTTAACAATTATCATGGCTCTCCTTTGGCAATTAACATTTCCACTCCCTCTCCCAGTTTCACAGGTCAGGTTTGGTTTGGCCTCAAATCCAGTACTTGGGTCCTGGAGAGAGGGCTCGAGTGATTATTTCTGCAGAGACCACGTGCTCACCATGTCGTTCAGAGATAATCACCTTCAGCTTTGTAACTTCATGAACTTGGGCTATTTTTCCTTTCTTCTTTCTGTTTTAGTTCCAAGAAATGTCAAAGCTTTCTCTTCTGGATCACCCCACACCTCAGCTCCTATAATCTTTGAAATCAACCGAACTTTTTTTTTTTTTTTTTAGTAGAAGCTATCTTTTCTAACATTGCAATTCCTCATGACTTTTATGATCTTCCAGTTTGTGCTGACTTGCCAGTACCTGAAAGGCAAACCTAAGTAATCGAATAAGGAACCCAGCCTGGAAGGTCCACCTCTTAAAACAGAGGGACTCACAGGGTCCCACAGTCTCCTGATCTGGTGTCCAGCTGGGGAAGGAGGACAGCTCACCACACTGTTGCATGTTTTCAGATAAAATTTTGGCTTTCATGTCACATCACTCTCTGCTAACTACCTGAGATGTTTCTCTTCCTTGCCATGGGCTTATTAAGCAGTATGGGGGGTGGGGGAATGAAAGAATGTTTCTCCCTCTAGACACCTTTAGGGCTTTAGAATGTGACCAGAAACAGACTAGCATCTTCCACCCGTGTCTTTTGGTTTCTTCCCCTTTTTGGCAAATAAAAATCACCCTCAGCTGTCTGACCCTGTCTGCCTTTACAACAGACAGTTGACTTCATTTCTCTGAGTGGGTTTAGCTATCAAGGGCCATGTTGTATCTTTATAGGGGCCCAGCTGTGTACACATCACGGAGGGTTTCAAACCCCCAAGGTTACCGTTCCCTTTTGCTGGCTCCTGTTTATCCCCAGATCACTGGAATTTGGCTGAAAGGCATACCGGAGCCATTCAGATTGCCAGAGCTCTGCAAAGAAAGAGTGTAGAGAACTAATGAAGTCTGTGAATTTCAGGTGCTTTCGATATTGTCACTTCCGGGAAGCACCGGGCAGCTGGTTATACGGGGTTACTCTTTAGCAGACCTGATGATGACGTGGTGGTCAGTGGAGGGCTAAAAGGAGCTGAACTCAGAGCCGCCCTGGTCAGTAACACTCCTCTTTCCCTAGCATCTCGGAGTGCATGGACAGTGAAGCTGAGACGGTCATGCAGCTCCGAAACGAGCTGAGAGACAAGGAGATGAAGCTGACCGACATCCGCCTGGAAGCCCTCAGCTCTGCACACCAGCTGGACCAGCTGCGGGAGGCCATGAACAGGATGCAGGTGAGATCCGGGAGTGCGGCGGAGCCCCAGGCTGCCCGGGGAGGAGCTGCTCCTGCCACGCTCCCTCCGCTGGGATAGCCTTCTCCACATCTAGATTGGAAGCTTCCCTCAAGGCTCAGCCTGATGCTTCTTCCTCTGCCAAGCCTTTCCAAGTCCTGCAACTGGAAGAGTTAGTGTAGTGCCCTCATCTGAATCCCTATAGATTTGTTCCTACGGCCCCTCTCACCTTTTGACACGGATTGAAGGCATTTGAGTCTCTGAGCTGTTCTGTTTTGCATCCCTTTCTCTGGATGTAGGACCAGTGCTTATTAACACATAGTAGGTTCTTTTTAAGTATTCATGGAATGAAAGACCACTGTGGATTCTACTAAATCGGCTTTCACTGGAGAGCAGCGTTTCCCAGAGGAATTTCCGTGAAACGCTCGTTCCATAAGAAACTGTGAAAAGAAGGCTCCTTGATCAAAAATGTTTGGGAAATGTTGCACACTATGTGCCCCTCTCAGATTCACAATGCATACCAACTTATTAAAGGCTCTGAGAAGTCCTGCAGTAGAGGTCTGGGTTGAGAAACCCAGAGTTTTCAAACTTCTTAGATAAGACTTTTTCCACTTACCACCCAGATTCTGGGAAACATTTCTGAGGTCTTGTGAAAGGCCAGCTCTCGGACCCTCCTGTGCCAGAGAGGTCTTGGGGGACTTCCCTGGCAGTCCAGTGGTTAAGACTTCACCTTCCAATGCAGGCGGTGCGGGTTCGATCCCTGGTCGGGGCACTAAGATCCCACATGCCTCACAGCCAAAAAAAAAAACCCAAAAGAGAGAGGTCTTGTGTATACAGCAAAGGCAGTGACCACTGTTGAATCTCTCTGTTGGTGTAACTTATTCTGCCTCCATGGCTGGGATATGCACTTGATCTCTGCAGGGAACTTTCAATTCCCTCCTCTAGGAAAGGCTTGTTCGCATTGTAGCTGCCTAATAAGTGAGCTTCTCCCTTACCCTTCGCAGAGTGAAATAGAGAAGCTGAAAGCTGAGAACGACCGGCTGAAGTCGGAGTCTCAAGGCAGTGGCTGCAGCCGGGCGCCCTCCCAGGCGTCCCTCTCCACCTCCCCAAGGCAGTCCATGGGGCTCTCCCAGCACAGCCTGAACCTCGCTGAGTCCAGCAGCCTGGGTGAGTGGCGTCACAGGGCCTGCAGCTGGCACTCTGGTCTCTAAGCAAGAGCCCCAAGACGAGCAGATCAGCAGATCAAATGGAGAGTCAGCGGGCGCGTGTGTGCTTAGGATGTACGTGCGTGTGGGTGTGCGTCTGCTACCAACATGAGCCCAGCCATTAGACTGCTGTCATGCTTTGCTGCAGCGCCCCAACTTCTCCAAGCCATGAGCTTGGCTCCCCTCGCCCACCATGCTGAGTTCTGTTTGATCCGTTTTAAGAGGCTGACCTGCAAGCCGTATGCTGCATACCACCCGCCCCCTGCCCCACCTGCCCTCGGTAGCCGATTGGGACGCTGGCTTGGTTTACGACCTTCCTGCCTTGGGGCTGGATTCAGGCTGGCTCAATAATGAGCGAGTGTGATCTAGGCAGATCACACAGATCTGCGTGTAAGCATATCGAGGCTGATGCTTTGACTTATTATCCGTGACGCCGCTCTTGCTGTCGTTTTGGTTGAGTCTCCCTCGCACTTCCGTTTGGCAAAGGTACATCGTCAGCCCGCTGGCTCCTTGATTGGTCCACTGTTGGTTTCTGTGGTTGCGTTCTGCATTCTGCCCTCTCCCCCCGCCACCCCCCATCCCACTTCCCCTGCACCACGACACCTGGTCTGTCCCGCTGCTGTGCCGACAAGCAGCGGGGGTGTCAGGAAGCCGGCTTTGCTGTCCCCGTGTGCCTAAGGCTGTTGATGTTTTCCATTCGCAGACATGTTGCTGGATGACACTGGTGAATGCCCGGCTCGGAAGGAAGGAGGCAGGCATGTTAAGATAGTTGTCAGCTTTCAGGAGGAAATGAAGTGGAAGGAGGTTAGTTGGATCCCTTACCCTGCTTGGCCTGTCCCTTCCCCAGGTAGAACTACCTAGCATAGTGATTCCATCATCACGCCCCATCACCTCAGAGCCTGAGGTGATTTGGAAATAGTACTAACGCTTTCCCTAACTAACCCTACTCCCCAGCAGCATTTTGACACCGTGAAAGTAAGCCAACGGCCCCTCCCTGTCTCTCGTGTTTGAAAAGTGTGTAAAGGGTTCTAAAAATGGTCCACACTGCACCACTTTCAAGTATCTAACTAAACACTAACATCAGTCAGAAACGGCTTTTCTGAATTTAGTATATTCCCAAAGCACTTCAAAGGCAGCTAAGCACATTTAGCACAGAAGGTACAGAAGTAAGCCACCCAAATTCATCCGACCAAGAGCACCTGTTTTAATCCAGTCATCAGAGGCTGCTGACCAAGTAGAAACTGGGAGATAGAGGTGGTCAAGCCCAGGAGCACACAGGTGGCTAGCAGTGAAGATGGTGGGGCAACCTGACTCACTGAGGCTGGGGAATCTGAGTTTTCTGAGTGGTTTCTGTTCTCTTCCAGCATCTAGAGGTCATACGCCAGTCAGAGACTGTTTTAGGGTGAGGGCAAGGGTTGACAGTCAAAGTTGATTTTTAGTCGTCAATTAAATCTAAAGGATACTGAGAATGATCATGTCTCAGATAAGTGGGAAAAGACCTCGTGAGCCCCTCATGTAAGTCCCTTGAGGTTTTTTTGTTTGCTTGTTAGTTCTGAGTATTTTAGCCAGCACGCTGTCGTAGGCTCCGAAAGCTTGGGAGCCTGCAGTGCCCGTCAAAACAAAGCGTCTGCAGCCAGACTTCTCTGCCAGGGGATTCTACTTTGTGGCTGGCTGTCTAGTCTCACTGACGAGGGTAGCCCCAGGATTTTGAGCTGCCAGGGGTCTGAGCATGATCTAGTTGAGAAAGATCCGTAAAATAGTTCCATTTTCAGAGCTTAGCTGGTAGAGTGATAGACTGTCAAGGGGGACGTCCATTCTTGTAACAGTCTGTTAATAAACGCAGGTGGTATCTGTGAAGGCATTTTATTCTAATGATCATCAACACAAACGGATAGATCTTACATTTTACGGAAGTCTGTCACTTTCCAAAGTTGTCTTGTCCTGGATCACCACAGCATCCAGATGAGCTTGGCTGCCCAGATTTTATCATCTCCGTTTTACAGTTGAGAAGCCCAAGACCAAGCATCACTTACCTAAGGCTGTAAGGAAGTGATGGGGCCGATCATCTCACTTCAAGACTGTTTCTTTTCTCTGCTGATTTTGCTTAACCGCCAAATACACCCCCTCCTCTCCCCACCTCCCTCCACTCTCCTAACTCTATATTCTTATCAGCATGTCAGATATTTGAAAACCAAACAAAATGGAATGTTCTATTAGTTTCCTTTAATCAGAGTGATCAGTGAGCCCCCACTATGCAGAGCCCTGTGGGCAGAGAGGCAAAAGAAGTAGAACAAAGATTATTTTGGGGCTTCCCTGGTGGCGCAGTGGTTGAGAGTCCGCCTGCCAATGCAGGGGACGCGGGTTCGTGCCCCGGTCCGGGAAGATCCCACATGCCGCGGAGCGGCTGCGCCTGTGAGCCATGGCCGCTGAGCCTGCGCGTCCGGAGCCTGTGCTCCGCGACGGGAGAGGCCACAGCGGTGAGAGGCCCACGTACCGCAAAAAAAAAAAAAAAGATTCTTTTGTGTGAATTTCCTGGAGTTTTACTAGTTTTCTGAATTAGACATGTTTTAACTTTTAATTAGAAGAAAAGAAATCAATACTATAAAAAACAGAAAAGAAAAAATAAAAACATCCTGAAGGAATTTAAGATCAAGCAAAGAGACAAAACCTGATAGACAAATACCTAAAAATAAACCGTGCAGAATATATCATCATGTAAGTTGCGTACAGAACTGTTGAAGCAGTGTGAGCTCTGAGCCTGGTGGGTTGATCATTGAAGGCTTCCTGGAAGAGGTGAGTTGGTAAGCAAGGTTTGGAAAGGGAAAGATGGCAGAAAGGAGAGGGGAGAGCATTCCCCGCAAGGGATGTGTGATCTACACACCATATGAGGTGCACAGTCGGTAGAAGGTTCTAGATTCCAGAGAGGAGATCCTCTCTTCCTAACCCACGGGTTGCTGTTTTAGCAATAGGGGAGGAAAGTGTTTAAGACCATTACATTCAGTCCAAGTTACATCTGGTGTTAAAACAAATAGGACTTTTATTCCCCTCTCAAACCATTGGCGGAGCTCTAAGACAGTCTGAGTACTCTGCTAACCTGAGTCAGAAAGGAGCCACCTGTTTTTCACCTGCGGACGTTTCCTTGCCCTTAGGATTCCAGACCCCACCTCTTTCTCATCGGCTGCATTGGAGTTAGTGGCAAGACGAAGTGGGACGTGCTCGACGGGGTAGTTAGACGGCTGTTCAAAGTAAGTGCTTCGTGAAGACAGCTACGGCAGTGCACCCGAGTGGGGGCCTGGGCCTCGGGGGGGAAAGGGCGGTTTGTGGCCCGAACCTGGTCATTCATCAGGCCACATCCCTCTCCCACATCCTTATGTTGCCGGGACTTGTCCCCTGGCCCTCAAGGGAACAGAAGGAGGATGGTAAGTATAGGCTGGTAACAGGACCAACTGTTCTCATCTGCCCTTGGCAGTGGTTGGCCAGCCAGGGAGAGGCACTTCCCTGGTCTTGAGCGGTTATATGAGCCTCTCACAGTGAACTGCTAATGTCTACATTCTCTTCCCCTTAGAATTGTGTCCTGTTGAGTATGTTTTGCAGCGTGTGTTCTGGGGCTATGATGTCATGCTTCCACCCTTCATTTTGGTAGGGGGATTTGATCCAACTTACCCTGCATCCCATGCCAACACTTCCAGCTCTGTGATTTGTGCTGTGCGTGACATTGACTTCTGATCCGTGGCTGGTGTCAAGGCTGTTGGCACGGTTATTTTTCTCTTCATTCTAATCACATCACTGGAGTGGGTGTTTGCCACAGGAGAAATTACGAATGAGCATCTAGGTGAACCTGACGTACTGGGTGATTTGAAAGAAGCTTTTGGTACATTTTTTTCTATTGACCTGAAGTAGGTCATAACCGGAAGTGTTCATTAATCACATCCCCTGAGTATTAAGAATAGCCCACATTTTCTGTGCCGGAGACCACATTGGTCTAGTTGAGTTGGTCTGACATGAAAACCTGACTTTTAACTAGTATACTCTAGTCTCCTAGCATCTAGACTCAGGTGGCTTCACAGAGAGAAAATTCTGTTCTTTGACCCAAGCTCACTTCCCATCTTGACAGGCCAGTGTGTAGAAATGAGACGGGGTGAGAGACAGGAATGGCTTAGAGCAGACCAAGCCTGCTGCCCCAGCGGAAACCTTATCTCTGCTGATGGACAGTTGGGACATCCCTGGATTAGAAAGACCACAGTTGGGGCTGAAAAGAGCCTGTGAGGCATCACACGTGAGGAAGTGAGACCGTTAACGGTAGAGACTTGTTATCAGGATTCCACCTCAGTCGTGTGGCCACCACAGAGCCCATGGACTTCGTTCCAAGTTCACTGACCTAAAGCCTTCCGGTCACTCATCTAAGATGGAACACTTTCCAAATTAAACACACGTTTGTTTGTTTAAAACTCTAAGCTGCTTTTTTCCAGCAGCCCGGGGTTTTGTTCCCTTTGTCATTATATGGCCTTTGACCTGAACCAAAAGAAAGGGCTGGTGGAGAGATTTCTCGTCAGAATTACTTTTTCACGCATTTTCCAGCACCATTCCCAGGCCCTAATGTCTTTAAGACTTCAGCTGAACTTACAGGAAAAGCGGCTTAACTTTTCAGTGCTTGGTTCACCATCTTGTTAGGGTTTCCCACCCTCCCATCACTAACCGAATAGATCTGTACCTTAAGGGGCCTGTGATATGAGGGCATCCTCCCTAGAGAAAGTCAGCTCTTCTGCCCCTCGTTCCACAGCTCGATTTCAACTCTGGCATCAGCTGGGAAAGAGGAGACGATCGTAAATCACCCAGTGAAGACATGAGTCTTGGGCAGATTTTTCGCCACATCTTTGACGGGGTCTTTATTCTATATTTTCCAGGAGTACATCATTCACGTCGACCCCGTGAGTCAGCTGGGGCTGAACTCTGATAGTGTCCTCGGCTACAGCATTGGGGACATCAAGCGCAGCAACACCTCCGAGACCCCCGAGCTTCTGCCCTGTGGCTACCTGGTTGGAGAGAACACAACCATCTCTGTGGCCGTCAAAGGTAATCCAGCCCATTGCAGTGGTGGGAGCTTCCAGGATTGTAGGTTTTGTTCTGTGACTTGGCACGGGAACCTGTGGCCATGATTTCGTTTGTGTGTGTATATGTGGGTTGTATTTCGATCCCCATCCACCACAGTTACTCTCACCTAAGCAAGTTGAACAGTCTTCAGCTTTTTCAGCGACCGTCGGAAACAAATAATTTAGTTTACGGCTGAAATTACATAACAAAAGGTGCCGTTAGCCTTGTGACTCTGAGATGATGGAATCTTAATAACCCTGTTGAAACGGGGCTCCACTGATACCAGTGAGTTACTCTTGCCGGCGAGCCTTGGATGCAGCCCCATTCTACAGATGGGAAACCACGATGCTCTGTGGGCCAGAGAGGAGTGGCTCGGAGCACCCTGCGGAAGCAGTGAAGCTCCTGCCCACGCACGATGCTGTTCGAGCTTCCAGCTGCCTCGTCACCTAAAGAGGCTGCGCCTGAGGCTAAAGTTCTGTGGCACTTTAGACTCACAGAGTATTTTTTGGGGAAAAAAAAAAGTTTCACGGCCAAATAAGTCCGGCATCATTATTCCCATGCAGGTTCTCTAAAGCCTCTGTCCTTTCATGTCCTGACTCTTGCCGTTAAAAAGGCTGTGAGATCCAGTCTGACACAAACGCATTTGACTGCAAAACCCCTTCTTCCTATATTTTATGAACCACTTAAAGAAGAGATTACTAAACACCGTCCGAAGCTCAGCCTTCACGGTATCTTATTTCTTCCCTGTAAGGCATCTTGACTGTAGTTTTGGGGTTGTTTGAGGCAAGCTTTGTTTCCTAACTGGGAGGTTTTCTAGAAGCACCCCAACATTCCTCATCAGTGGGAATGAAGGTTGCTGCCCGGTGACCAGTAGCATGTTCCTGTTTGAGCCTCACACATGGCCTTATCTTGTTGGCATCCCATAATTGTGGCCTTGGGCTGCAAGTGACAGAAACCTACTCAAAACTAGCTTTAGCCCAAAGGAAACATACAGGCTCAGGTACCTGGAAGATCCAGGTATAGGCTTCAAGCGCAGCTGGATCCAGGCGCTCCAGCAGTGCCATCAGGACCAGGCCTACCTCGGCTTTGCTTATTTTTTCAGCTTTCTGCACAAAGCTGATGAGTGGCCCAGATTCATCCTTCTAGCTTAGGAACCTAGAAGAAAGAGAATGTCTTTCTGGACAAGTGTGACAGGAAATTCTTAGGGGTGATTCTGGCCCACCGTGGGTCAAATGCTCATCACCAAATCAGTCGTTGTGACCGGGTAGAGGCTTTGGCCCAGCCTGGTCACAAGCCCACCCCTTTGGGGGGTGAAGGTGCTGGGTCAGCCCTGCTTGGACCAGCTGGAATGAACTCCTTGCAAGAAGGAAGAGTCCCACTACAAGGGGAGAGAGGGAGGGCTGCCAGGCCCACTTTAACAACAACTGTCCACTCCAAGAACCCTTTAGGGAAAACCTGATACACCATGACTTTAAATTGCGCTTCAGCCCCGCTGGCGAGCAGGTGAGCACTGCAAGCGCTGAAGGGTCAGAGGAGTGACCCGTTGCTGAGACCAGAGCAAACCTCTGTAGAAACAGCGACAGGATTATCTGCTTCCCGAACAGGTCACCTCACCACGGAGCCTAAGCTGGTGCTGCTGTCAGCACATCAAGTTGTTTTAGCATCTCTAGGGATCAGCTCGGGTTTATTTTATTTATTTATTTTTTTGCGGTACGCGGGCCTCTCACTGTTGTGGCCTCTCCCGTTGCGGAGCACAGGCTCCGGACGCGCAGGCTCAGCGGCCATGGCTCACGGGCCCAGCCGCTCCGCGGCATGTGGGATCTTCCCGGACCGGGGCACGAACCCGTGTCCCCTGCATTGGCAGGCAGACTCCCAACCACTGCGCCACCAGGGAAGCCCTCGGCTTTGTTTTTAAGCGATACCTGACTCCTCTGTTTTCCTGTGGTGCTTGACACTTATGCCTTCAGGGCACTGAAAACTACTCAAGGATTTGAGCTGAAAGAGATGCGTGAGCTGCGGATGATTCACTTCAGTGGCACCCGGGGCAGGGGCTGTGGCTTTGTGTGCTCTGAAGTGAGTTCGTCTGCAAAGTGGTCACTGCCAGGGGGGTTTTGACAAGAGACTGAGACAGCAACGTAGCTGCAAAGAGAGGGGTTTCACAGTGTTTTAATCACTGCCCCATGTTTGTTATTAAGTTTAGACAGGAGACCCTAACCTCCATATTTTGCATCAAACTTTGAGCCCATGTAGGCTCTATTGAGACCAGTTCTAGGAAAGTCTTAGGCCTGTACCCAGAAGATCTCATTTGGGATCCTTCATTAGGATGATTCTAGAACAGTCACTGTGCTATCTTTGGTTGGGGAAGATTGGAAACAAATGTATAGATGCGTCAGGGGGGTCTGTTTGCAGTGAATTAATTGTGTGGATGGAAGATGCTACTGAAAAACAGAATAAGTGCTTTTCAGTTCATTTTTTGCCTACATATAGTGGTTTCTTGAGGTGCTTTTTTAATAGAATTGCCTTAGGTTCTGGATAAGTAACCTTGGCTGGATCCTCTCTTGGGAATGATATGAAGAAAACAGCTCTTATAAAGCCAAGAGCCCTGAGTAATGAAGTTGTCCCAGGCGGGGAGGGGAGAGATGTTTCCTCTTGCTGTTGGAGAGGCTCAGCCTAGGTCTGCCAGTATTCACATCCCCAAATCAAATGGTCCCACCTTGCGTTTTTCCTCATTTTAACGATAAAGTGTTGATACCTTCATGGTGGATCTGAGTGTGGGCAGCAGCGGCACCTGGCGTGCAGGAAAAAGCAGGGTGAAGAGGCAGCCCCGGGGTCTGGGTGGACACAGGGGATTCACGTTTGGTTTGAGCCAGCGCCACTGGTAATGGTAAATCCAGAAAGACAAGTAGGGCTCAGAGTCTTATGAATTCTGCAGAGGATGGATGAGGACTGAGGGGCCAGATGTTAAAGGTGAATCTGTGGCGGGGGCGGGTGGGGGGCGGGCGGGCAGTCAGCCAAGCCAGGAGCCGGAGCACATCGTGCTGGTGAAGGGAGCCTGCGGTGTCCCTGGGTGGGCGGGGCTGCCCAGGAAAGGGATAGCCTTGCGTTTTGGCAGTTCCAGGTGGGCAGGCACAGAGAGCCACCCTCTCTGCAGGGCTGCGAACACGTCCTCTCTCAAACACAGGGCTCGCGGAGAACAGCCTGGACTCGCTGGTGTTCGAGTCCCTGATCCCCAAGCCCATCCTGCAGCGCTACGTCTCCCTGCTGGTGGAGCATCGGCGGATCATCCTCTCCGGGCCCAGCGGCACTGGGAAGACCTACCTGGCCAACCGGCTGTCAGAGTACCTGGTGCTCCGGGAGGGACGGGAGCTGACAGACGGGGTCATCGCCACCTTCAACGTGGACCACAAGTCCAGCAAGGTGAGGAGGTCGTTCAGAGGCGGCTGCTTAGCCCTTTGAGAACTAGTGATGCCACCACCCCCGTGATGGCAAAGCAGCATTTCCTACAATGCTCACCTTTGATGGTTCTAAAAGCCTGGGGAAGGAGGTCAGAATGGAACTAGCAGAAAGGAAGGCTTTGATCCAAAACTTCCCAGCAAGAAGTTCCACGTGTAAGTCGATGTAGTTCATTTCTTGCTTCCCCGCTGTGAGTTGGGCACCATGATCAGTGCTGGTAGTTCTTTAAGGTCAACCCAGATGCTTCCACTTCAGTTTACCAAAGATTCATCACGTGCCTACTAGGTCCTCTTGTCTTTCCAGAAGAAAACCTTCTTTTGTGGAACAACAATAATAAGAACAACAACAGCTCGCATTCGCAGACTGCTTCCCCTGGGAGCAGCAAACTGAACGCCCCACAGCAGGACCTTCAAGGAAGTAGTTGTCACAATCCCATTTTACAGATGAGGAAACTGAGGCTCGAGGCAGATGACCGTGTACCTAAAGCCACTCAGATAGTACTGAGCAGCAGACTGCAGCTCAAGTCAATGTCTTAGACCCCAGAGCCAGCAAATAGGCTTGATCCTGCCTCACAGGGAGCAGTGGAAGCGTTCGGACAGCCTGAGCTAGTCCCAGCCTAGGGTTATGAGGTGTTTTCTCAAACTTGCTCATTAGCCATGCAGTGGTTGTTGACGGGTGATTCACTCTGACTGGCCAAAGGGGCCAGGAAGTCAAAGGTGAATTGGAAGTGACTCTTTCACCTTAAGAATCACCTGGCATCCTTGAAGATGCCGCTCCCAGACCTCATTCCCAGATGATCTGTTTCAGTAGGTTGTGTGGGGCTGGGAATTTGCACCACAAGTTCTCCAAGTGATGTGGACACAGGGGCAGGACTACAGGAAGTGGTGAGAGGCCCTGTACCAAGATCCTCTGTGAATAAGCTCAGGGAAGGCGCCCTTTCCCGGGACCAGCGAGAGAAGGATCCTAGGCGCGTGGCTGGAGGTCGAGCCAGGCTTGAATTCAGCCCCCACTCACTCCCCTTGGCCAGGCACCGTTGTACAGAGCATAGCTCCCCAACTATACCCTGCAGGCCTGCATGAGGAAGAGAGGGTCCGAGCCTCAGGATCCGTGGCATTGGCAGGGGCCAGAGGCCAAGAACCCATAGTGCAGAGGAGCTAAAAGGAAAGATAACTAGTAACTTAAAAAATGGGGCTGCTTCTATTGCTAAAAGCCACATTTTGACTTAAAAGGGAGGCGTGTGTGTGTGTAGGAAGCAGAGGAGATATGACCCCCCGAGCATCCAAGCCAGCGTGCAGGACAGTGGCATGGGGAGGCGTCCACACCAAGTCCAGGTCCAGCCCTGCTGCCGACCCTCTGTGCCGTCTCCGGCTGCCCACCTGACTGAGGGACGCTTCAGCTTCCTCCTCTGTAACATGGAGACAGTCACAGTGCCCACCCCAGAGGGTTATTGTGGGGCACAGAAGTTCCTATGTGTGAGGTCCCAGAGCCGTGCCTGGCGCAAGGTCACTCCATCCTCATGGTGATGATAATACCATCAGGAAGTTGTTCTGTGTTCACTGGCTGGCCCTTAGCTCACCGTTTTGGCCTTTCCCCATCGCACATTCTTCTTTCTCTTCCTTTTCTGATGTGCCCCTTGCCCCAGCCGTCAGTGCCCTGCCCATTCTTCACAGTTAAGGCCAAAGGTTCCCCTTTCACGCAGACCTTCCAAGGACCCCCATGCGTGGAGACCACCCCCCCTGCACCGTTCACTGTCTGTCTGCCCCAGCACTGATCAGCAGGGCATATGTGGGGGGGGGGGCAAGGGGGTCCTTTGCTGTGCTGATTCATCAAGGGCTTTTGTGTAGATGGCTCTCAGGCAGTGCTGTGCCTTTAGAGAGATGTGTGAGGCACTTGCACTCAGGAGCTTCCTGGGAGGTTGGCAGAGTAAGAAATAGTAGCGCTTCTAGAGAGTGCTGGAGCAGCTCCAGCACCGCGCCTGGACACCCCCACGGTGCCTGCTCTTGCCCGGGTTTTCTGTTGCCTAGTGAATTCCAGAAGCCAGGGCCCAGGCCTTCCTCACCACTCCCCCGCCCGCACCCCCTGCGCCCAGGCAGGCGCCCTGTAGCGGACAGGCACTCAGGACCGGTTACCGTGAGGCCTCAGGAAGGGCCCCTCTGCCAGTGCCGGCCCGGGGCAGGGGAAGGCCCCGAGTACGTGCGTCTTCCCGGGGGCGTTCACCCACTCATTCCTGCCCGGCCTCCGCAGGAATTGCGCCAGTACCTGTCCAACCTCGCCGACCAGTGCGCCAGCGAGAACAACGCTGTGGACATGCCTCTGGTCATCATCCTGGACAACCTGCATCATGTCAGCTCCCTGGGCGAGATCTTCAACGGGCTGCTCAACTGCAAGGACCACAAATGGTAAAGGCAGCTCTGGACCTCGTGGCCCCCGGGAGAGACGTGTGCTACAGGGGGTAGGAGCGCTGCACGCACGTGGCAGGGAGGGGCTGGGGCCACATGGGGGGAGGGGCAGCAGCCCGCAGCCATCTGCCTAGGCCCTTAGATGCCCCGGGACGCTGCGACACCTTCTCCAACTCTCTTACCCTTCATTTCCCCCGCAGCCCTTATATAATTGGCACAATGAACCAGGCTACCTCTTCTACTCCCAACTTGCAGCTTCATCATAACTTCAGGTAAGGAGTCACTTTTTGAGTAACTGCTGTATGCCGGGAACTGTGAGCATTTTTCCCAGCTTCACTCATTTGATTCTCACAAAAGCCTCAAGTCGTTAAATTTATCATTCGCAGTTTACAAATGGGGAGAATCAAGTGGTTTGTGTGAGGTCACACAGCCAGTCGATGGCAGGGCTGACTTGCACCCCGATCTCTTTGATGCTAAGTCCTGGGACTGCAGTGCCCCGGGGGCAGCTCTGGGCAGGGACTGTCGTCATGCAACCCTGCACGTCACCAGTGGCACGTCTGTCTGTCCCAAGTGGACGTGAGCAGTGAAAGCTCACGCTTATGAAAGTGTCCATGGAGCAGAGTCTGGCCTTCGAGCTCCAGCTGCTGTGAGCCCTGGGCCCCAGCCCCGTACCGAGCTACCCCACTGCTGGGCTGTGGGACTTCTGCCACGCTAGGTTGTGTGGCCTCCATGTACTGCTGCCCTGCCTGGGGCCTTAGGTAAGGATGAACAGCCGTCTCCTGGGGTGAGACCCCCGCCCCGGCTCATTTTCATGGCCATTCTGCCGGCATCCCTGTTGAAAGTAGAATCGCAGTTATCAGAGAAATACCAGCCCCGCCAGGTCACTGAGATCATGGGTCACCTCTGCATCCAGGCTGTCCCAGTCTTATCCACGCTTTCTCTTGAATGTCCCTCAAGACCTTTCTGCTCCTGCTTCCCCCGTCACCGCCGCGTCATCTCCCAGCACACTGTTGCAGTCATTTTCTAACCAGTATGCCTGCCTGCCCCTTGGCCCCCCTGCAGGCCATCCTCTGTGCCAGTGGCAACCGGAGTGAACATTCTAGAATTCAAATCTGACTGTAAATCCTCATGCAAGAAGTCCTTCAATGGCTCCCCATTGCCTCCAGAATGAAATCCAGGCCCCTTAGGTTGGCAGGTCAAGTCTAAACTTTGGTTACACTGAACCTCTGGCAGTTTCCCCGAACACCCCACACTGCTGCTCATGCCTTTGCAGATGCTCTGCACCCACCGCCGCCCCGACCCCTGCCCCTGCCTTGCCTTGCCTCGTGTGGCTGCTCCATTCATCTCCTTTGGCCTCAGCTCAGATGTCCCCTCCTCTGAGGAGCCTTCCTTGATTCCCCAGGTTTCGTCATCTCTCGTTCCTCTTATCTGCCTCCTCCGCTAGACTGTGAGCTCCTGGGGAACAGGGACTGTGTCTGAGTCATTGTTACAGCCCCACAGCCCAGCATGGAACCCGTCACAAGCACAAGAGGCAGTTAGCTCAGTGGTCAGAGCTCAGCCTCTGGAGCTGGACTGTCTTGGTTCTAATCTTAGCTCTTCTCTTGACTAGCTGTTTGATCTTGAACGAGTTACATAACCTGTCTGTGCCTCAGAATTTCGACCTGTACAATGGGTGGCCATCATATCCATGGCACGGGGTTGCTGTGAGGAGTTGTGAATTGATATATGTGCAGTGTTCAGTTGAGTATTAACATAGGCACCTTCCAGCTCTAGTGAGCTTTGGTTCGTGAGGTTGGCCGTAGTCCTTGTCATGGAAAAGTGTTCCTGACTTCTTCCAGGTGGGTGCTGTGTGCCAACCACACGGAGCCCGTGAAGGGTTTCCTGGGCCGGTTCCTGAGGCGGAAGCTCATGGAGACGGAGATCGGTGGGCGGGTACGGAACGTGGAGCTGGTGAAAGTCATCGACTGGATTCCCAAGGTCTGGCATCACCTCAACCGCTTCCTGGAGGCTCACAGCTCCTCGGACGTCACCATAGGTGGGGAGGGGAGGCCGGGTGGGTGCCGACAGGCGGGCTGGCAGGGGAGGGAACTGCTGCTCCCGGGGCCCTGGCCTCCTCGGATGGCTGTCCCTGGACCCTGGTAGCTGGATGCTGCACTGGCCACATGGTTAGAGGAGGGGACAGAAGGACAGGCACAGCCTAGACAGACCCCGGGCCGCCCTGCGCCCACATCCCGGGGCCGTCTCTGCCCTTCTCTCCCGCCCAGAGCTCGGGGGTGATGAGCAGCAGAGAGAAGTGTCCAGCCCCAGGCTGGTGCAGAAACTATGGGCTCAGTGAGGAGCCCCCACCCCGAGGCTCCCCCAGGTGGAGACCACCCTGTGGGATTGGCATTGCTTTATAAATAAAGTAATCTTATCGACATTCCTAAAGCTTAAGCTTCAGAGAAAAAAAAAGATCACTGGTCATCCCACCATCCTGATGGAATATTGTAATTTGAGCTTATTTTTTCTGTCCTCGTCCATACATGTTTTATGTAGTTGCAGTCATAGCGTACATACAGTATGTTCTTTATTTTCACTTCACGTTGTCTCATGAGCATTCTGTATTGCTCTGCAAAATAATCAGATGTGGGTGCACCGTCACTTCCTTAACTGTTCCTGTGCTCTCGGACATCTACTGTGCTTCCATTTGCAAAGGTTAGGACTAATGTCTCAATGAACATCTTTCTGCATAAAGCCTCGCCTCCCTTTGGGGTGATTCCCGAGAGGAGCGTGGTCCCAGGGTGGCATTAAGGAGCGCAAGCATCCTGCTCTGTGCCCACCATGTGACAGTTGGTATTTCTGCTCTCGCTCAGAAAATGCAGGGTCCCTCCTTTGAGGGGTGCCCGGGCTGGCTTCTCCTGCCCCCTGCCCCGTTTCAGTCTGACTGATGTTCCCTGTGGTCCCCAGGCCCCCGGCTCTTCCTGTCGTGCCCCATCGACGTGGATGGTTCCAGGGTGTGGTTCACCGACCTGTGGAACTACTCAATCATCCCCTATCTCCTGGAAGCCGTCAGAGAAGGACTCCAGGTAAGAAGCACACTGCCCACTGACCTCCTCAAAGTTCAAGGGACTGTTCTAGTGACGAGAAGGGTTGTCTTTATCTCCCTCTTCAGAAATCTGACTGACGTGAGGTGACAACCCCTCACCTGTGAAGCCATCCGTCCAGTGCAGTGTAGGAGACACTGGGCTGCAGATCCTGGCTCTGCCACTGTTAGCTATGTGACCCTGAGCAAGTCATCCAGCCTCTCTCTGCCATGGTGCCCTCATTGATGGAGGAGAGAACGGTAGTACCGTGCCACAAAGAGTTCTTGCCAGGGTTCAGTGACGTCATGGCCATCAAGTGCTCAGCACAGTGAGTGCACAAGACCTGGAATATGTCACTTCACGGTTTGCAAAGCATCTGCTGTTTGCTTCAAGCTCTGCATTTGTCCTGGGTTAGGCAGAGATTTTTTGGTTTTATCTCCATTTTTTAAGAGAAAGTTATGGCTCAGAGTGAATAAGTGACTTGTCCAAGGTGAGGAAGTGAAATTGAAGAATCTGGGATTTGCATCCAGGCCTCAGGTTCTTGGCCCTAAGCCCCATGGCACTCGCTGCCTGACGCCAGGACCCCTCACGGGTGACCCTGGGCCCACGTGGCCGCCCATCCCTCCTGCCCTGCTGTAGCTGGAAAGCCCAAATCCTTTCTTCATGTCTCACTCAACCCAGGGGCTAATGCTAGGAGCTTAGCAGTAAGTTGGAGATCGTAACAGTTTTATTGTTGAGTCTGGAGGTGGCCTGAGAAGGTTGTCGGCTTTCAGGAGCGCTCTGAGTCATTAGCAGGCGTCACGCACTGCTGAATAGTCCAGGAACCAGCTCAACAGCCGGGTTTCTGAGGGCTGTGTTTCCTCAGTACCGGACGGTGGGGGACACATGATGCTGGTGGAGGACCCGGGGCGGGGGGGTGTGCACACCCACATGCACATGTGTGACGGCACACCTTAATGGCTTCCGTCAGGGTTTGTCATTTGTGTACGTTCAGCTGAGCCTGGCGAATGTTCATCTGCTTTGTATCTGTAACATGCAGCAGCACTGAGGGTCTTCGGAGACGTTCGGGATAACCAGGGCTTGAGAAGGAAGGTGGTGCGCCTCTGGTCGCTGGTATTTCATTGAACGGGAGCATGTAGGCTGCGTATTCAAGCCACCGTGTTCAAATATAAGTGATTGTGAAGACAGAGAGTAGCGAGAAATTCAGCAACCCCTTGACCGGCCTTAGTTTCCAGTGTCTAAAGATCATTAATTGATGGCAGCATTGTTTTTAATTATAATTGACATACAGTATATTAGTTTCAGGCATACAACATAGTGATTTGATATTTTTGTACATTACGAAATTACACTGTGGTCAGTCTAGTTACCATCTGTCACCGTACAGAGTTATTACTATATTATTGACTATATTCCCGATGCTGTACATTACATCCCCGTGACTTATTTATTTCACAGCCGGAAGTTTGTACCTCTTAATGCCCTTCAGCTATTTCTCCCATTGATGGCAGCATTTCTGTTTTGTCGAACGTGGCTTTTGAAAGAAAATATGAACGATTTCAGATCTATCAGTGGACTCTCTTTAGGTAGAAAAATTCACTGGGTAAAGTAGCCATAATTTCGTCTTTACTCAAATGGATTTGTTAGGACCGCAAACCCAAACAGCCACCCAGTCACTCCTGTTTGCTTGGGATGCCCCGCCTACTGGATTCTTGGAGTCTGTTATGTTCCAGAAGCCTCTCTCTTCCCATCAGGGGCTTCCGGGGACTGCAGTAGAAACCCGCACTGCTCGATAGAAGCCACAGGAATTGCAGGGGAGGAAGTGGCACTGTTTCCTTCTATTTCTGCCTCGCCTCACTTCTCCCCTTTGCTTCTTTGCCCAAATATGTCTCCTGGTGCAGGACAGGAGTGACCTAGAGTGTGCTTGGAAAAAGTCGTGGGTGCTGTTGAATAAAGCACGTGGGTGCCCAAGGAGGCACCAACCGGGAGGGGTAGGCTTTGCTCTAGCCTCCAGCTACACATCAGAGGCCCCTCGTTGGTCCTCGGTAAGGATGGACAGTGCTAAGGCCCTGCTCCTTGGACCTCAGCTTGAAAGAAGACCTTGTGGGCATGGCTATGAAAGTCGGGTCTGATCTTCCCTGTGCATCCTGGAGAGGTTGTTGATGGATTTGATCTTCAAGGGTCTCTTTCCCACCAAGAGCGAGGAGGCTGTAGGTGAAAGGATTTGGGGGTGGCTGTGGAACAGCCCGTTCAGGACAAGGAACAGAAGCATGTCACCGTCTCAGGAGACTCACCAGTTCACTGTGAGGCAAGAAAAGTCATCACTTCCCTGTGCTGTTGAGGTCTTTTGAAGGACAGTCTTTCAAGAACATGGAAACAACCAGGGGAGGCAGCCAGAGTTAGCATTGTACCAAGTTGCTCAAAAGTGAGCCCTCCTGCCCCAAACCTGTGGCTTCATCCCATTCTGCAGCCTGGGAGACCCCATGGACTCTGCAGGTTCATGAGGAACCCTGGAGTGTTCTTCATGTCTCTAGTTTTGAAGGAAACTTTGATGACATTTATTGAGAGGCTGCTACCTACCAGGCACTGTGCCAGGGGCCTGACAGGCATGATTCCGTTTAGTTCTCAGCGCCCAGTATGCACCTTAGAGACGAGGAAACCAAGGCTCACAGTTTTTGACCCTTCCCCAGTTCACTAGGCGGGGTGTGGATTGAGCCAGCGTCGTAGCCCATAGCTGACTCCTCGGTTACTTCCGTGAGTTTTCAGGCTGTCCTGAGACCCCTGTTATTCCACCCAGAGCCCTCAGATGACTCAGGGAACCAAGTATTGTGTTACATAGCGTGACGTTCTGCATAAGATTTCATTTGACAAAAAGACTCTTCTGTTCAAAAAGAAAAGTTTAAAATTCCTCACTCTCCTTCGTGTTACCTTGAGTCCCGTGCTCACTGTGTGCTGGGCGCTGTGCGGGCCACTTACTCCGCCCTGACTCTGCGAGGAGTGGTGTGGCCATGAGGTGAGCGCACTGTGGTTCAAAGCAGGTAAGCCCTTGGCCAAGGTCATAAGCTAAGAAGAGGTGGAGTCCCCAGATTGGGCTCTGGCGGGGCTGCCGGTGGTGGTTGGCAGCACAGAGACCCTGCTGCCGACAGGTCTCACCAGGGGCTTCCAGTCAGCCCCTCCAACAGGCACAGCCCTGCGTGGAGGAGATGTGGCATCGCCCCCTAGTGGATACCAGGTATCATTGCAAGTTTTGGATCCTGAGTCTTTTCCCAGTAGTGTGTGTGTGCGTGTGCGTGTGTGTGTGTTCGCGCGCGCAACTGCTTGTAGGCTCTTCCAGAATGTGTACCTTGATGCCTTCGTGTGTGAGAAACGTGCATCCCACAGAGTGAGAAGGTGCCCAGTGGCCAAGTTTTCAGTTTCCGGTGTCTTGGCTCCCTCTTCCTGCCTTGGGGAAAGTGAATGTCCTGTCTGTCTATCTGTCTGTCTGTACAACTGTCTGCTGTTTCCCAGAGCTGCCTTAGGACTCTGCAGGGGGACCAAGGAGCGTTACGACACATCCTTTGCTTGCCACGGTACTTACCCAGCCATTCATCACCTGGACTTAGACATGTCCAGTGGCAAGTGGGGAGGCTTGTAAAAATATTCTCTGTTCTTGCAGACGACACTAGATATGCCCAGGTGTGCACTTGTCTTATGACTTAGCCCTCAGCCCTGTTCCCCTTTGGAATTTTCATTGTAAACACTTGCCAAAGTGTCTAAAGCCTGCAGAGTCACTCAAAAGACCCCTGTCCCCCTGGTGGAAAGGGGAGAGTGGGGAGCCATTGATCACATGACCCAACCTGCTCTGAGACTCTGGGCAAACCTCCCACTGCTAAGCCTCGGGTTTCCCATCTGTAATCTGAAAAGTGTGGACTAGAAGAGTTTTTTCAGGCTGGCTCTGTGGACCCCCAAAGTTCCTCAGACCACTCATAGTAGGGTCAGGGGAACAGAGCAAAAATTTAAAAGCCACGGGGCCAGACCCTCTAGGAACTTGATGAGCTCGGAATTCTAGGCTCTGTTGTTCTGCAGCCCTGAGCATCTTCTCTTCCAGGCTGGAGGATGGAGACAGAAGCAGTAGCTACCAGAAACGACGTTTGGTTCAGCCTCACACATGTGAAATCTGGCTTGGGAAAGTCAGCTGAGTGCTGTAGGGAAAGCCCTTGGAGGGAGACGCTTCTACAAGTTGCAGGAATGTTTCTCATGTGCAACAGGCTTTTTCAGGTCTAAATATCCCCAAGCACTTTGTGCTCCCTTCCTCCCTGGCTCGTACCCATGCGCACACGAACCTTCACATGATCCCTTCCTGCTCGGACCGTGAGTCGCCTTTCCAATGCCAGACTGAGCTCTCAGGCCTGGAAGTCACCGCTGCCCCAGGTTAAGGAAGGTTTCGCAGTAGACGGGACTGGAGCACTAGACAGGAAGGGCGCTGGTGTCTGAAAGCGCTGAGCTCGTAGAAGGCTGTGTATCTCGAGTGGAGGGAGAGGCCATGGATGGAGGGGGGTGGCGGGCCTGTCTGCAGTGTGGGCAGGGCATGCACTTCCCTGAGACAATCGGACGGGGCTTAGGCAGTCGTGAGACAGCGGAGGGACAGCAGGCCCAGCCCCGGTGACGTGTCCTCGTCGGGTGGACAGCCTGGCCTGCATCTCCCTGCTCCGGTTTTGGCTGAGTCACGTGGCTCTTGCCGATACCGAGTGGCTCCGAGTGGAGTCTGTCGGGAGGGGTGGAGAAGGGAAAGGTCCAGACAAGGATGCCAGGGTCCTGGGTTCGAATCCAGCGTTGCTCCGAAACCTTTCACAACTGGCTCTTCTCTTTTAGCCGTAAGTTCTCCATCCGGTAGATGAGACGGCTGGGACCCCAGTTCCTTCCAGCTGAGGCAGCCTGTGACCTGGGAAAGACGTGATTTTATCAGTCAGAGCTCAGCTCTCCTGTACTGTCAGCCTTCTCTCCCCACATCCCCCTCCCTCCCCTCTCAACTGTAAGAGTTCTGGGAGGACAGAGGGCACAGGCAGACGGACAGACAGGCTGCGGTCCAGATGTAATTCCACTCTAGAGTCCCCCCCTGCAGCCGTTGTGGTTCAGGGGGCTTTGGTCTTTGTACCCCTGTGGTGCCCTACAGAGGGGGTGCCCTTCCAGAGCCACAGGTGGCACTCTCCTGGGTGGGCACATCTTGGCCTGGCTGTGAGCCAGTCCTGCCACGTCTGCTCAGACTTAAGTGGTCCACGGACCTGGGCAGACTTGGATTCCAGTTCTGCCTCCCCTCGTCCCTGGGCCTGGCTCCTTGTCTGGGAAACTTGGGTAGTGATGCCTCCTCTTGGAACCACATGGTGGTTAAACAAGATATTTGTCAAGTGCTTGTCGTAATCCCTGGCACGCAGGGAGCTGTAAGGTGTGGCGGCAGGGGTGGTGTTAAAGGGGAAAGCTACAGAGAAGGCGCCCAGCCACGTGAGATGCAGAGCCTCGCCTTGGGAAGCGGTGAGGCCTAGGTCTTTGTTCTTTGAAGAGTGTATGTATTTCTTGAAATTGCCAGAAGAAGTCACTAAAATCATTGTATTATTCGGTATTTCAGGCTTAAGGAAAGGAGCTTGGAGGCATGGTACTGGTCTTCCAAAATTATGTGATAATTCTGCTTTAAGAGCAAATTAGTTGTTCTGGGCAATTTTGAGAAACACATGAGGGAGAAGAAGCAGTTACAATTCCAGTACCCACATGGAACCCCTTTAACAATTTGCTGTTCTGAAAGCGCCTCTACAGCGGGGGCTCTTTGAGAGTCAGCCTCACTTTAAGAAATGGGGTTTTATCGAGCCAGAGCCATTGGTGACCTCTGCCTGGGCTGCTGATACCCAGCATCCCATCTGTGTGCCGTGGAGGGGGGCGGTACTCAGTGGGATGACAGCACCTCTTTCCAGCTCCACATTCAGTGACATCGTGTTGGTAGTTGATTGGCCACGGTGAGAGTATTCATATCATGGAAACTGGCAAACACTTCAAATCAGAGAGTTGTTTTTCAAGTTGGATCAGCGAGGCTTAGAGTTGAGGGCAACGCAGTGAGTCAGTGGCAGAGCTGAGGTGTGAGCCCAGGTCAGGCTGACTTCAAAGCCAGTGCTTTTACTCCCTAGGTCATGCTGCCTTTGGTCTTAGCACATCAAGGTGTCCGTGCCTTGGATGATTTCCTTAGGATTTCCTCTGGAAGTGGAATTACTCCATCAAGGGAAGCATCATGCTGGGCTTGGAGAGTTTTTCAGAAAGTTGCAAAACCAGGCCTGCAGAAGAGGTCTCGGACCACTTCCTAACTCTTCCTTCTTTGTCTGTTTCCAGCTGTATGGAAGGCGGGCCCCCTGGGAGGACCCCGCCAAGTGGGTGATGGACACCTATCCTTGGGCAGCCAGCCCTCAGCAGCACGAGTGGCCTCCCCTCCTGCAGCTCCGGCCCGAGGATGTCGGCTTCGACGGCTACTCCATGCCTCGGGAGGGGTCAACCAGCAAGCAGATGCCCCCCAGCGACACTGACGGAGACCCGCTGGTGAGTTCGCGGCTTCCAGAGCAGCTTGGCATTCACTGAGCACTCACTGTGTATTGGGCCTCATGCTAGCTAGGCACACCGGAAATTGGGAAGTGACTGAGCCCCAGCCTTGCTTTGGAAGGCTAGACCTATCCCAAGATTTGGGACATTTTTGCCAATATTTTCTTCCTTGTTTTTAGTTTTTCACTTGTGTCTTTAACCCCTCTGAAATTTTTCAGATAAAAGATCAAGAATTTGATTTTTCTCCCTAAATGTCCCTACACCACTCTTCACCCTCTGGTTTGAGTGCCAGCTTTATCATGTCTTGCCCAGTAGCCCAAGCCACGTGGTCAGGAGTTTAGGCAGGGAGAGGTTTGAGGGCGGGAGGGACTCATGGAGGAGAGGGCAAGGGGGCCTGAATGCGGGTCCCCTGGCCAGTGGTGTGAGTTAAGCCTTTAATGCTGCCTGAGCACCTTTACTCCACTGTTGCTAAAGCAATAAAGGCCCTTTAAGAAGAACCTGGGTCAGAGATCATACCACTGCAATTCTAGAACTCTCTGCCAATGTAAGACCCATACGTAGGCATACTGCGAAATTAGACCTAATAAATCAAAAGCCCTATTAAAAGAAGGTTGAAGCACATATGCCGGAACCTCCCATGGTTAAATGACCATTATCATGCTATAAATTTAACCCTGAGCTCTCTTGGCAACTAAGGCGAAAGGAAAAACACTGCAAAGAATATTGCTTGCATTACCTAATGAAAGAACATATTCATAAGAGATGCGGCAGGATTAAAAGACAGTTGACTTGCTGTTCTATCCCTAGTGACTAACTGCTTTGCTAGATAAAAAATAATAATAATAGGTGCTTTGGGGTTGTCTGCCACTCCTGACCGGTGGGATGCAGCTGTGGTCCTACTGAGACATTTTAAACGGGGATTTTACGTTAAATGGATTTATGGCTTGTATTACTTAAGCACAACCTAATTTGCAGTGTTTACCACAGTGGTTTTCCAGAGGAAAGGATCAACCTGTAGAAGGCTATTTCTAACGTTAACCGTTACTAAAAGCCACAGTCATGGAACTGTTTTTGTGGGTTCAAGCGCGTGAACTCTAACTTACGTAAAAGTAGAATTTAGGACATCTAGAGGAAGGAACGGCCAGCTCAGCCCTGGACAGTCTTTTCTTAACCAGGGATATTTGTGTCGCTGCCTAAACACAGAAGGCATTTAGGTAAGACCCGGGGTTCTCTGAATAGTTACACAGAACTGTCTTTCCAACCTCAGGCTCCCAGAAGTCAGCTATGCCAGCCCAGCTCCCTCTACTTACCAAGCTACCTACTTGGTGTTTCCCCCAAGTCCTGTTCTCTCCGCCCAGGACCACAGGTGTCTGCTATGATGGCCCTTTTGTTAACTGATCTCTCACCCTCCTGAGACTGAGGCCTCCAGGAGGGCAGGACTGTCTTGTTTTTATTCCAGACCATGTATCATGGGTACACAGGGAATGTTTGATGAGTGAATGAATAATCCTGGCTGCGAAGGATTTTTCTTTGGACTTCCGCTCTACCCCTTCCCAGTTGCAGGCATGCAGATGGACACCAGATGGTGGTGCATCTGTGGTTGGCCCACCCAGGCCCATTCTGCTAGGCATCCTGAGGGGCGGCCAGCCAGGGGGCAGCTGGACTTCACACCCAGCTGCACCAAGTCTGAAGATAGCTCAGAGAGACCCTATCTTCCTAATTTTGCTAGATAAAATATAAAGTACATACACACACAGTTTATGGTTGTAAATAAAATTAAAGTATTGATAGTTTTCAGTTCCCCATCTCCCCCTTGAACACAAATGACCAATAGACTGTAGACCAGGGAAGATGCAAAAACACTGTCTTTAAACTCTTAAGAGAAATGATGGTGATTATGATAGGAGACTTATCTCATTTATTGAACAGTTACTATGTGCCAGGCCCTATCCTAAGGTTGAATACACACCATGTCATTTAATTCCCTACTTCGGCCCTATGGTATGGGTACTGCCGTTTTCTCTATTCTGTGGATGAGGAACTGGTGGCCCAGATACATTAAATAATTGCCCAAAGGTTTCTGAATTGGAATCCAGGCCTCCCGGTGCTCCGAGGCTCTGCTTTACTAATGCTATCCTCCGCCTCCCCATGGAGACCTTGACAGGAGCTGGAGCCCAGGTGACTCCAGGCTGCGCTCTGGCCAGAGCCAGGACTACAGATGGGCTCGATGCTCATCGAAGGGGGAACCCTGTGCCTCGAGGTCAGCGGTGCTGGGGCGCTTGGCTGGCATCTCACCCAGGCTGAGGGCTATATTTGAGTAAGGTGCCCCTCCCAAGTAAAAAATATATACACATTATCTTTTAGAGGATTTTGTATTTTCAGTGATCTGCATGTATGAATCCACACCGTAACGTTATAGGGCAGGTATAATTATTCACATGCAACCAGTGAAGAAACTGAGGTGTAGCGGTTAAGTCACTGGCCCGAGGTCATGCAGCTAGTAAGTGGTGGAGCCGAGACTTGAACCCTGGAAGCCTGGCCGAGGGCCCGTGCCCTCGTCCACCGCGGGCCACAGTCCCCAGGGTGAGTCTACAGGACGTGGCGTGAGCTTTGGAGAGGCCAGGCGCGGCCAGCCGACCGGACCGGAAGCCATGTCGCGGTCTCCGCTCTTTCCCCAGATGAACATGCTGATGAGGCTGCAGGAAGCTGCCAACTACTCCAGCCCCCAGAGCTATGACAGCGACTCCAACAGCAACAGCCACCGCGACGACATCCTGGACTCGTCCCTGGAGTCCCCTCTGTGACGGCCGGACCGCGGGGCCTGCCCTCCTGAGCCAGCCCCCGGCCTCGGCGCGAGTGCCGCGCGAAGACCCGGACCCTCCTCGTCCTCCAGCCTCGACCTGGGTGCAGGCACCCCGGGCCAGCCGCCTCGGGCCCGCTTCCTTCACGGGGAGAACCGCACCATCTTCTGTGTCAATTATTGTCCTGCCTTGTTGCTGTGACCTTCCTAAGACACCGAAAGATACTTCTCCGGAAAGGACCATCACCGTTGAAATGAAAAGGGTTTTAAACAAAAAAGCCAACCCACTTGAAGCTCTGAAACCAAACAGCATCCTGCCCTCAGCGGCCCAGAGACAGAAGAGATTAGAGCAGAGCTGAAAGCGGAGACAGCAGGGCTTCCTCCGCGCACAGACCCTGCAGCTCCAACCCCGCCGCCGCCCTTCCGCCACACCGGCCACACAGAGATCCGACGCCAGCCGGGGCCCTTGCTTCCGCCACACTCAACAAACTGCAGAGCCGCATCGCAGGAAAAACTTAGGAAAAACAAATCGTGCTTTCTCTTTGGTTTGTTTTTTAAATGGTGCTCTCCTTACCCGAGAGGTATTTTGCCTGTTCCGGTTCCTCCCCCGCCTTTCAGACCCATCAGCCTCTGGTTCTTCCATAAGTGAGAGCGAGGCCGAGCGGTTGTGGCTATAAACGCAGAGCTGCATGTGTCTGTCTCCTTCTCGTACAGAAATGAATCAGGTCTTATTCCTGCTAACACTGTGTACAGTGAGAATTGGTCTACCTTGGCGAACCGATCACCCCTTTGAAAATGAGGTTGAGTTTCTCCCTTTCTGACTGTTTTGATTTTGAAGACTTTTTTCCCCTCTCCTTCCCCTCATGGTCAGAATCCATCCTTTGGTGAACGTGAGAACCGCAGGAGTTGGCTTTTGGTTTGGTCCTGCTGAGTTTTGGTTTTCAGTTGTCCATCCTCACAGTTCTGCACACTCGCTGCCTCCTGCTGGGGCCGGGGTCGCTGTGCCCTTGACAGTGGACCAGGACCCCGTCCTCAGCGCGTGGGTGAGCGGGACCTTGCCTTTCCTCCTCGTCCTCGAGGCTGCAGGACACACGTCGACACCTCCAGCATGCCAGCCCCGACCTCAGGTGGGGTGTGAGGTCACCTCGCAAAACACTTGCACTTTCCCCAGAACCAACGTGACGTCACACAAGTCAACAGGTGGAGGCAGCTGCTCCCTTCCAGAAGCTCTGGCCTCCAGCGGACGAGCCTTGCCTGACCTCTTCGGTGCTGACCTTCCCAAAGCGATGCCTTAACTGGTTTTGTACTCACCGTGTTCATTGATGAGTGTCGTGCCTGCCTGGGGTCTGTTTTTCTGTTTTCCCCATCAGAGCAAACAGGGCTAACAAGTCATCTACTCACTAGAAGAACTCAAGCTAATGTGACTTTTCTCATCCAAAAGACTCATTCGTGTGGATGTGTGACTGTGGGAAAAAGAAAAAGGAAAAAAAAAAAAAAAGATCTTTTTGGTTTTAGGTTCTTATCAGTCTCCAGCTAACGCCCTGACTAGATGACGATCTGTCTTGTGCAGGAAAAGGCAAAAGTTCCTACCATGTTACATGACATCGTTGAGCCCATGCTCTGCTCGTATGTGTCTTCAGCATACCGGTATTTTCTCTACGGAGTGTGGTCAATCTTTGAGTCATTTGTTTCTGTTTTATTTTTATCGGACCCCCATGGGGGGAGTCTCTGTTAATGATCAGGGGTTTTACTCCATTTTTTTTACATTTCTATTTCCAAAGGTCCCTCTCTCAACATCTTTTATTTTCTTAACCACAAGAGCTTGACCTGAAACCAGTCACATTACATTGGATGACACCATTTGCTTCCTCTTTGAAGGGAAAAGGGGAATGTGTCTAACAGGTGAATGGAAAACCTCTCAGCGTGCTCTTTTCTTTAATCTCAGTAAACTCAGACTCTATTCTGCTAAGCCTTCCTTAGTCATCTGGGTGTGTGAGTGTGTCTTGTTCTGTTTTGTTTTTCATAACATGTTTAAAGCATGTATTTAGCCTGTGACCTCAGGGGTCAGTCACACCCTGAGCCTTCTGGTAAACCTGAAGAATGGTCCTTCTCAATTTATCTCCCAGCAATGACCTTACACACTCATACTGTGAATTTGGGAGGAGGTAAAATGGACTTCTCCTCATGGGCAGTTTTCCCGGTCACCTTGTGAGTAGACACCTGCCAATATCCTTTGAAACGTTTTTTGGTTTTGTTTTTCGTTTTTTTTTTTTTTACAGCACCCTCTTTTCTCTTTCTTTTCTCCCCCGTCCCACAGACTTCCCTCCCACCGGGTCCAGGCTCAGCGCCGAGACCTCTGTCCCTGGTGCTGCCTGACAAGTGAACGGTGGTTTCAAGGAGTGTAGCCTTGTTCGAGTCACAACTCGGGGTCTTTCCTACAGTTTCCGGAAGCAGGGTTGTCTGATATGCACATTTCTTACTTTGGTCCTGTTCTGCTTTTGTGTCGCTCACCTTTGACAAAGTGACTGTGCTCATTTAGGGCTCTGTCCGAAATGCTTCCACTTTGCCTTTTTCTACAGTTAGGCTAATTTTGAAAATGTATGAAATTCTATGCAACATTTGTGTTGAGTTACCAATGGAAGCCAAAAGTTTTCTTTCCAAACTGCCAAGAATTTTACAGGCCATAAGTGAGATGGGAATTCCCTTTAGTTTAAGGTGGTGGGTGGGCAGGGGGGGACACGGAACGAGACTTGCCTAGACCTTTGTTGTATCTTGGGGACATATTTTATTGTTGATGCTTAAACTTCAAAATTCTGTGTATTCGAATTTGATAATGGCGAATCTACTTCAAAAGGAGAAAATAATCCAACTTTGTGGATACGAAATGGAAGGTTTGCTGTTTTGATCTAGTTATTTCCAGTGGAGCAGTTTATGAAATATGTTCTATAAGATGTACATTTTTTCATTGTAACATAGAAATTGTAAATAATTGATTAAAGTGCTGCATTTTGATGAATTTTTTCTAGCCATTTTTAAAGAGAAAACTAGGAATTGAGTATTTTGTGTACGGTATGTTTCCGTCCTCCCTCCCCGTCCGCCGTCCCTCCCTATTTAATTTTCATTTGTCATGAGGTTTTTGGATTTGCCAATGATCTGCTGGAGATCATGCCCCACATCATAGAGGATAAAGCTGATGATTGTACCAGTCTTAAATTATTCATGATTGAATAAAATTGATGCTTATTTATTCAGATTAGTGGTTTGGCTTTTCTGTGCTAGAGAACGTCCTCGTCGGAGTTCAGTTTCATGCCGGGAGGAAGTCATTCTTATTTGGATGCAGGAAACACAGCGAGAGCTCCCCAAAATCTGCAAACCCATCTTTGCTGCTGTGTCATCGACATCCTACCTCTTCCCAGTTCCTTGCCTCAGTTATTTCCCGTGTGGAGCTTCTTAGCAATGCAGCACTTTGTGCTCCTCCCAAACTTTGAGTCACTGGGGATCTTGTGGAATTGCAGATTCTGATTCAGCAGGTCCAGGCTGGGACCTGCAGTTCTCAATTTCTAAGAAGCTCCTGGGTGAGGCCAACACTCTAGGTCCTAGAACACACTTTGAGGCAAGCTCTATCTATCAGTATCCAGCCACCCCTCACCCCCCAGTCGACCCCTTGGCACAGGAAAGATTTTTTTTTTTAATGTATTGAGTACCTACTAATTGCTAGGTGCTTTCCCAAGTGCTCTAATATAATCAACAAAATTACCCAGAGGAGGTAAATATCCTTACTCCCGTTTTACAAGTGAGAGGAAAAACAAAGACAAAAACTCAGGCTCAGAGAAAACAACTTGCCAAGAATCCTGCAAGCTAAGAGGTGAGAGAGTTGGAGTTTCAGCCCCGTATTCCAACCCCAAATCCTGCCTCTCATCTCAGGGGCCCCCTTCCGCATTGCAGCTGATATCCACTGCAGAGCATAGGCAGTGGGAGATGACATCATATCTTAACCTTCACTTTTACCAGAACAACAAAAACTGTAAAGGCTTGGTTTGAAGTGAGGCCTGTGGGGTCACTGTGAAATTGATCCGACCCAGCTGGCTCAACTGCTGGTGATGTGAAACGTCCAGCTCAATGTAGCACACAGCAGTGGCCCAGCTGGGAGGCAGGCAAAGAATCCAGACGTTGGGAATAGGCAGTTTTTAATGCCTGTCAAAAAAAAAAATGAAAGGGAGCTGGTACAATGGTGTGGCAACTAGATATCCTGAATTTCCAAGGTTTTCCACGTCAAATATTCCACCCCTACGTTTATACAATGAAATATTACTCAGCCATCAAAAGGAGCAAAATAGTGCCATTTGCAGAGACATGGATAGACCTAGAAACTGTCATAAGAGTGAAGTAAGAGAAAAATATCATATATTTCTTATGTGTGGAATCTAGAAGAATGGTGCAGATGAACTTATTTGAAAAGCAGAAATGGAGACACAGATGTAGAGAACAAATTTATGGATACCAAAGGGGGAAGGGGGGTGGGGTGAATTGGGAGGTTGGGATTGACATATATACACTACTATGTATAAAATAGATAACTAACGAGAACCTGCTGTATAGCACAGGGAACTCTACTCAGTGCTCTGTGGTGACCAAATGGGAAGGAAATCTAAGAAAGATGGGATACATGTATACGTACAGCTGATTCACTCTGCTGTACAGCACAAACTAACACAACAATGTAAAGCAATTTTACTCCAATATAAAGATGTTAAAAAAAATAAAGAATATTCTTCTTCCCAATCCATTTTCTTAAGATATTCTCTCCCTTGACCATAAAAAGAATTTATGTAAAAAAATAAAACATAAAAAAGCAAGAACTATAGAAAGCATCATATGTAATGTATTTAATGCTAAAATGTTGAATGTGTTCCCTTTCAGATTAGGAGACAGATAAAGATGCCTCCTTTCATCAGGTAACATCATAGTAGAGAACCCCAGTCAGCACAGAGAAGCAAGAGAAGTAAATCCTGAAGATTGGAAAGGAAGAAATTGGACTGTCTTTACTTACAGATAGCATTATGTACTTAGGTCATCCACAAGAATTCACAGATAAATGATTAGAAATAATAAGTTGAAATTTTTTTCTGGATACAAAGTCAATACATGGAAATCTATTGAACGTCTATGCATCTAAATTTTTTTAAATTTAAAAATACCAATTTCAGAGCATCAAAAATATCAAATACCTAAGAATAAATTCAATGTAAGAGAGGCAAGACCTCGGAATTCCCTGGAGGTCCAGTGGTTAGGACTCCGTGCTTCCACTGCAGGGGCCGCGGGTTTGATCCCTGGTCAGGGAACTAAGATCCTGTAAGCCACGCGGCACGGCCCAAAAAAAAAAAAAAGATGGGCAAGACCTCTACGTAGAAATCTATAAACCATGGGGAGAAGTGAAAGACCCCAAGATATGGAGGAATATGTGATGTGTATGGATTAGATGACTCAATGTGAAGATGTCGGTTCCTCCAAAACGGTCTAGAGAGTTGATGCAAGCCCACTCAAAAGCCCGACATAATTTTTATGGAATCGATAAGATGGTTTTACAATGTATAGTGAAACACAAAAGGTGAAGTATAGCCAACTACTGAGCCTGCACTCCAGAGCCTGCGAGCCACAATTACTGAAGCCCGCGCGCCTAGAGCCTGAGCTCCGCACCAAGGGAAGCCACTGCGATGAGTAGCCTACGCACCACAATGAAGAGTAGCCCCTGCTCACTGCAACTAGAGGAAACCCGCACGCAGCAACGAAGACCCTATGCAGCCAAAAATAATAAATAAAATAAAAATTTGTAAAGAGTATTAAAAAAAAGAAATAGGGTCTTTTCAGATGTAATTAATGAAGAAGTAGTTCTACTGGAGTAGGGTGACACTTTATGCACTATGCCTAGTGTCCTTATAGGAAGATAACCTAAGGATATGAGGGAAGAGGCCCACGCGAAGGTGGAGGTGGAGATGGGAGCTGTGCAGCTGCAAACACCCCAAGGATGGATGCTCCTTGCTTCCACCAGAAGCTGGGGAGAGGCAAGAGAGGATTCTACCCAGAGTCTCAGAGAGAGCACTGCCCTGCTGACACCTTAGTTTCAGATATCCAACCTCCAGAACTGTGAGAGAATAACTCTCTGCGGTTTTAAACCTGCCAGTTTGTGACACTGAGTTATGGCAGCTCTAGGAAACGCATACAGTTACATACCCAATGTATACATGTATGCACCGAGAAATATGGACACAAACGTTCACAGCAGTTATCACGTTCATTATAACAAAACCTGGAAACAGTCCACAGGTCCACGGACAAAATTGTGATGTCCGTCTCCTCCAGCAGTGAAAATATTTGTGGGTGGATGTTGAGTGAGTGCTGAGCGAAAGCAGCCGAACCCAAACTGAGGCCAAATGTGTGCTTCCATTTACATAAAGCTCACACTGCCGTCAGGTGTGGGCGCGTGTGTAGGTCGTAAAACTAGAAGGAAAAGCAAGGAGGACGGGGCAGTGGTCAGGAAGGATAAGAGGCTCTGGGTTGCTGGTGGTGTCCTATTATGCGACTTGGGTGGTGATTTCATGAGCAGCTGCTTTGTCATAGAGCACTAAGCTGTATATCTTCGTGCACTTTTGTCTGTGCGTGTTATACTTCAAAATAAGGTTTTTACAAAGTGAATGCTACCCCAGGCTGCCCGCCTGGCCACCACACCCCATGAGTGCTGCAGGGCAGCCGAGATCGCTCCTGCCCGTGAGCAGACTCAGCTTCCCAAGTCCATAAACCAAGGACACCGTTTGCGTCCACCTCGACACTAACTGATGTGTGAGCTTGGATGCGTTAATGCCAGTTCCCTATGCCTCAACCCCCTCTGAAGTAAAATGAGGCTAAACCACCTGTGTCTTGCAGGATTCAGGGAGGCAGTGCGTCCAGAGGGTTCCTGATGCCGTGAAGTACTCACTCCATCTCCCTCATCCTCCCAGCTCTGGCTCCTCTGGCTGTGCAGTCTCTCCAGTGTGTCAGGGGACAGAGCTGCTCGGCCTCAGATGGGGGAATTGGGTCCCATAGGGGAGGATGCAGAGAGGCGAGTCTGGACTCCAGACAAGGGGAGATCGTCCTAAAGGCTGCTAGTACGCTCCCCATCACCATGGGAGTCCAAGCACAGAATGGAGGACCACCTGACAGCAGCAGCGGAGGGATCCCAGCCCTGGTTGGCAGGTGAGTTCCAGTAGTCTTTGGAGCTCTGCTTGCCTGGTAGGATCACTTCAGACAGGGCATAATGGAAAGAGCACTGGAGTCTAGAGACCTGAGTTACTGGCTCCTATCCTGGCTGCCTCCTTCAGACAAGTCCCACCTACTCTCAAGGCCATAGTTTTCCCATCTGTTTAATGAAAGGATTGGACTAGCTCAGTGGTTCCCTAATATGGCTGACCACCCCGAGCCCAGGAAGCACGTTAGAAACAGACTATGGCCCCCCTTTAGCCCTGGAGAATCAGAAGGAGCTGGGGACTGCCGACTTCTCCCAGCTCCTTCCATTCCAGGGTGCAATTACGGGCAGCCCTTTCTACTCACAGTGGCCACGAGGGGGCAGGAAAGCCCAAACAATGCCAATCCTCCATTGGGATGGACGTGCCTTTCTTGGCAAAATTTCCACCCTCTCTCTCTCTCTCTCCCTCCCTTCCTCCCCGCTCCCCCCCCCCCCCCCCCACCCCCCCCCCCGCCATATTACCAAAAAAGGATTGGATATGATCCTCAGACAATTGAGTGTAGTATTTTCCCTTCTACCCCATGCTTGGAGGATGAAGCTGCATTCCCTAATAAAGGGAATATGGAAAGGAACTGACGTGTGTCAGGCATCTTGCTAAGGCAAGGAATTTGCCTTCATGGATTCCTGTGACCTGCATAACAATTGTGTGAGTGGGTATCATCATCCCCACTCTATAGACTGTTAAGGGACTTGTACAAGGTCTCACTAATTAGGGACAGAGTAAGGATCTGAACTCAGGGCCCAGTCAGATTCCAAAGCCTGGAGTCTCTCCTATACCACATGGTGCCCTCCACCTGCAGTTGCTGAAATGCTTACATCCATAACCTCATTGCTGGTCCACCTTGGCCCTGCACGTTAGGCCCAAGAAGGCATAGTTGCATTCACAGGAGGATGCAGATGAGAGAGGGGAAGGAAATTGTCCCCAAACACACCTGAGCTGACAGTGCCACCAGAACAAGAGCCCAGGTGTCCTG